GTGTGTGCGGCGGCGGGGGGAGTGGGGGTGCGTGTGTGCGTGCGGCAGCGGGGGGAGTGATGGAGTGTGGGGTTGCGTGTGTGTGTGCGGCGGCGGGGGGAGTGGGGTTGCGTGTGTGTGTGCGGCGGCGGGGGGAGTGATGGAGTGTGGGGTTGTGTGTGTATGTGCGGCAGGGTGTGTGTGTGTGCGGGAAGCGGCGCGGCGGGGCTTGGAGTGGGCATGGTTTCCGCAGAGGGAACCTTGGCCGGAAGGCCATGTGCGCGCGCCAGGGAACTTGCGGCTGGGCGCCAATGCGCATGCTCAGTTGTTTTGCCGTTTTGTGAGTGTGTGTGTTGTGTTGTTTTTCATTTTGAGTAGATATGTTTGTACCTTGTGGGTTGTGTTATGGGCATGGGAATTGTGGTTAAGTTTCGTTGGGGTTTTTTTGAGTTTTGTTCTTTTGCCGTTTTGTGAGTGTGTTGTTGTGTTGTTTTTCATTTTGAGTAATATGTTTGTACCTTGTGGGTTGTGTTATGAGCATGGAATTTTGGTTAAGTTTCGTTGGTTTTTTTAGAGTTTTATCCTTTTGCCGTTTTGTGAGTGTGTTGTTGTGTTGTTTTTCATTTTGAGTAGATATGTTTGTACCTTGTGGGTTGTGTTATGGGCATGGGAATTTTGGTTAAGTTTCGTTGGGGGATTTTTGAGTTTTGTTGTTTTGCCGTTTTGTGAGTGTGTTGTTGTGTTGTTTTTCATTTTGAGTAGATATGTTTGTACCTTGTGGGTTGTGTTATGGGCATGGGAATTTTGGTTAAGTTTCGTTGGGAGGTTTTTGAGTTTTGTTTCCTCGTTGGATGCCCCTAACAAATTTATATATATAGACTAGCATGTTTCCTCTCTACCTCCTCTTCTGCTGGCAAAATATACCCAGCTATTTAAGAGTGACATAACCTCAAAGGGATTCCTGGTCTCCAGATCTTTTGTCATTTTGGTGTTAGCTGGCCCTGATTGTTTCCTGTCTGGAATTCCCCTGGGTTTTTTTTAGTGTTGCTTTTTTATTTACTGTCCTGATTGTAGAGTTTTTTTAAATACTGGTAGCCAAGCCAGATTTTGTTCAATTTCATGGCTTCCTCCCAGGCAGGAAGCAGCCAGGTTTTGAAGCCAATTGCAACATTCACACTTCTGAAACAGACAAGAATTCTTTCTCCCACCCTGGACATTCCACAGATATATAAATCCCATTTTCCTAGTTTCCAACAGACCTCACAACCTCTGAGGATGCCTGCCATTGATGTGTGCGAAACGTCAGAGAGAATATTTCTGGAACATGGCCATACAGTCCATTTAATTCTGACCATGAAAGCCTTCGACAACACATTCTCATTTTTTCTTATGAGTCATATCATGTCGCACTGTGCCCAAACAATAAGTTACTCATTTTGACTTTCTGGTTCAATTTATTTTCCTTCCGTTTAGTCATATTTTTAAAAATTCAATGTTATTGTGTTATTGGTAGAATTTTCTGTAGCACCACATTAAATATAAAGTTTAGATTCATATGGTCTTGTTTCTAAAAATTGTATCCTTTGGGTTTTGCTGGTTATTGCTTCAGAGTAGCCTCCGCAGATGATTTTTGGGAGGACTTTTGCCATTTGTGGAAAGGATATTAACAAACTGAAAAACCAGAAAGAGCCTTTTCTGGGGGAAGGTTCATCACACTAAAATGTGACAATATCCACAAAGGAGGGATACTTTTTGGCCAACCAAAATGCACAAAACACACTATGAAAGCTTCCAAAGCTCCACTGGGATTTTACATTAGGCAAAAGACTTTTTTAAAAACCGTAGAGGAAAAAATAAAAAGGAAGAAAATTACGGTGTGGGAGATTGTATCATGTAGTCTTCATTGGAGTGGATTTTACGATGTACTTGGAATTATCATTTGTATTTTCATAGCTTTGCTAAAAATCTTAGGTAACCAATTGAAAAAGAGGAAATGCGTGTTAGAAGGGTTTGTTTTTTTATTTCCAGTTGCAGTTAGTGTTTAGGCATTTTATTGTAGAAGTCACTAGGAAATTCAAGGTATTATTGTGAAACATAGTTATTGTGTCTGAAAAAAACAGACACTGAGAGAAACAGTCTGTGGAACCTGAATGTTGTTAACTATTATAACAACCTGTATGTTGTTAGCTTAGGACACACAGGAAAAATAATAAGAGGAGAAAGAAACTGGGACATTTTAAAAGAAGTTGAAACAGTTGCACAGCAGAGGATTCATCATCACTATGTTGCTGTTGATTTTATTTTATTTTATTGTGTCTGTTTTAATCTGTATTTTCAGGCTTGTCCCCTGGTAATACACCCCGAGTCCCTTCGGGGAGATGGAGCTGGGATATAAAAATAAAGTTGTTGTTGTTATTATTATTTTTAACTATCCACCAGATCCTCAAGGGTTTGAATAGCACTGAAATATTTGCATGGTAGCCCCAAACTGCACAGTTCGGTTTCTATGCATTATGTGCAAATAAACATGTCATGGCAACAGCAGGGACATTTTAGAAAACGATGCTTCAGTTCATTACTTCAATTTTGAGCTCAGCTGCTGTGACGTGCAGAGGCATTTGATCAAGCCGATCCATTATTTCCTTATACTAAGCAATACTACGAATATGTTCTGTTGTAATATTAAGGATGAGTAAATGAACACTGCTGTTTTGAGTAGGCGAGGGCTGATTAGGTTTATTTGTTTCCAGCGATGACTAATACCAGATGAGATATTTTTAGAGCATTTCCTTTGAGCCATCAGTTTCTTTTCTTCAAGCCTTATTCCTGTTGCTGCTTTATCAAAACCTGTTGTCAAATTTGGCACAGCTTTTGCAGTTTTTAAATGTGCCACACGTTTTATTTATTTACATTTTTAAATGTTCTCACCCAAGTTCCAGGTTGAATTGGTTTTGCAAAGGAGAGAGCTTGAAAAAAACAAAAACCTTTTTTGTACAACAGCTTGCAGCATTATTTGTACTGCAAAATATTCTAAACTCCGCCCAGTGGATTCTGAGGGCCCTTCCACACAGCCCTATATCCCAGAATATCAAAGCAAAAAATTCCATATTATCTGCTTTGAACTGGAATATATGGCAGTGTGGACTCAGATAACCCAGTTCAAAGCAGGTATTGTGGGATTTTCTGCCTTGATATTTCAGTATATAGGGCTGTGTGGAAGTTCCCTGAGAGTGTGCTCTACAAAAAAGCATTTCCATGCACTAGTATAGGATATCCGTGCTATCCATTGGATTGATCCCCCATATCACTTTTTAAAACCCCCATGCCTAGACATACCCTACTCTGTACATGCCCAGGGTTTTTAACATTTTAATCTACATCTGGCCCTGCCATAATGTTTTTAAATCTTTTTTGTGTTATTGCTTATATGTTCAACTGTATTATTTATATTGTTTTATTGCTTGTTGATGTATTGTTGTATTTGTATTTGACGGGCTTGGCTTCATGTAAGCTGCCCTGACTCCCTTTGGGGAGATGATGGCGGGGTATAAATAAAGTTATTATTATTATTATTATTATTATTATTATTATTATTATTATTACTATATAGCATACAGCTTCCCAGTTATTTCTACAACGCCCCCTTGCTGCCCCTATATCCTATGATCTGATCCGATATTATCTGTTTATCTCAGATTATCCGGCAGTGGAAACTCATATAATCCAGTTAAAATCAGATAATCTGGGATCAGGTCCTGGGATATACCATATATGCTTGAGTATAAGCCATCCTGAATATAAGCCGAGACACCTAATTTTACCACAAAAAACTGGGAGAACTTATTGACTCAAATATAAGCTGAGGGTGATAAATGCAGCAGATACCAGATTAATTTCAAAATAAAAATAGATACTAATAAAGTTACATTAATTGAGGCATCAGGAGGTTAAATGTTTTTGAGTATTTACTGTATTTCAAAGAAAAACAGTAAACTAGCTCTGTAAGTGGAAAAGTAGGGTCAACAAAAACAATATGGCATCAATGACAACTTAATAATAATAATTATACAATTTTATTTGTATCCTGCCCTATCTCGGGCCGGCTTCCAACATAGTAACAGGCAAATGTTCAGTGTCTATATAAACAATGCAAAGCTAGGTATAGATCTATAATTATATATACTAATCTCTCATATGCATTTTCCCCTGAAACATTTGCAAATCTGCTCTCTCTATATGTGCGTTTCCCTCCTACAATATTTGCAATCCCTATATATCTATGTTTATATCTATCTAGACATCTCTCCCCTCTTCTCTCTCTGTGCATTTCCCCTGCAATATTTGCAAGCCCTATATATCTATATTCATGCCTTTCTAGGCATGACTATATTTGTGTGTGCATTTCCCCCTGTAATATTTGCAAGCCTTATATATCTATATTCATATATATCTATCTGGACATCTCTCTATATATAGATAATTATATCTATATAGGATTTGCTGAGACTTGCAAACATGTGAGGGGAAAATTCATATAAAATAAAGTATACATATAGATACAGGTATACAGGTACATGGAAATCTCTAGATATATCTATATGTATACAGTATTTGCAAGGACCAGCAAACATATGAAGGGAAAACTTCCAAGGGAACAAAAATGCACGTATAAAGTTAATACATTTAGATACACACAGAAAATGCTTTATCTGCCCAATTATTGTTTTATTTTGGCGTTTACAGTCATGGTATAAGCCAATATACTATTGTTCTTGCAGTGTGGACTGGAGAATACCACTGTAATCTAACTAAAAGGTTTTTGTGTATATTTCTTCGGTTCTAAGGTGCCATCGATTGCAATTTAATTTCAGTACCACCACAACCAAAACAAAAAATACAATAGACGCATCTTGCTTTTCGAGATGTTTATTTAGAGGGGGGGTGGATGTATCTTGGAATTGAATTGTGTGTGTATGCCATATATCTTCCATATAGCTCCCATATATCTCTCCTTTTGTCAGGATGAATCCCCTCGACTTTGCAGACCCTCTTGATTATGCAGACTTCTTGAAAACTGAAGGAAATGAACACTTCAAAAATGGGAGATATTCTGTGGCAATCAAAAAATATGACGAGGCAATAAATATAAGAACGTACTTTTATCAAACACAAAGGTAAAGTGTTGTTATTTTTTTTAAGCTGAGACAAAATGAAAGAATGTGATTTTGGGGTGTGGTGTAGTTTTTCAATGTATTTTAAACTGTATTTCAATATTGTTAGGCTCCATGGCACAAATTATTATACTCACATTTTAATGTATTTGCTCTGTTTTTAATTGTATTGTGTCATGTTTGCATTTAGCCGCCAGGAGCCCCTGTATTAAAAGAAAGGTGGAATAGAAATAAAGTGAACCAATATATAAACTATTTGGTGCTAAGTTCTAAATTTGGTTCTCCTCTTGGGCTGGTTTGCATTTATTTGAGTATTTACTTTAAAAAAAACACACAATTGATTGATAGAAACTGACAGCATAGCAATGGCTATATGACCATCTTCGAAGGGAAGGAAAATACAGGACTATTTTACCGTAGACTAGGGAAGAATCTTTCATGACAGTTAACAAAAGGAATTGTGATTGGTCTACGCGCCCAGCCTTTGTAGGAGCTTATCAAAATGATATAATTAATGCAGTTTCACACCACTTTAACTGCTATTGCTCAGTGCTATGGAATCATGGACGTTGTCATGTTGTAAGGTATTTAACCTTCTCTGCCAAACGGTTTGTGTACCTCACCAAATTCTAACTCCCAGGATTTCATAGTATTGAACCATGGCTATTAAAGTGGCGTCAGACTGCATTAATTCTATACTGTACATGCACCCTTAGGGCCTTTCCAGACAGATCCCCAGGATCTGATCCCAGGTTTTCTGTTTATCCCAGATTATCCGACAGCGGAGACTCATATAATCTAATTTAAAGGAGAAACCTGAGATCAGATCCTGGGATATTGAGCCTATCTGGAAGGGTCCTTAGTCAGCCACCTTCTACACTGCCATATAAAATCTGGATTATCTGCTTTGAACTGGATTATATGGCAGTGTAGACTCATATTATTCAGTTCAAAGCAGATAATGCAGATTATCTGCTTTTTATAATCTGGATTATATGGCACTATAGAAAAGGCCAATATAGAGGGTATTGGGGCAAAAGAAATTCTGGGGACAGATGTGGCAGAGGATGCATCTCTCTATGAAATGACTATTGTTTTATTTATTTATTTAAACATTTATATTCCGCCTTTCTCACCCCAAAGGGGACTCAGGGCGGAGCACAGCATATATACGGCAAACATTCAATGCTGGGACACAAATTCATACACACATACATAAACATTAAAAACATTTATCTCAATATTAAAATACACCATTTAAAACCGTCCTAGTAACCAGCGTCAAATCTAATTGGCCTGGTAATATTTCCTATTGCTGCTTTATTGCCCTGTCCCAAAAGCTTGGTCCCACAGCCAAGTTTTTACCATCCTTCTAAAGGACAGGAGAGAGGGGGCCGACCTGATCTCACCAGGAAGGGAGTTCCATAGCCGGGGAGCAATCACAGAGAAGACCCTGTCTCTTGTCCCCACCAATCATGCCTGTGACAATGGCGGGACGGAAAGCAGGGCCTCCCCGGAGGATCTTAATCTCCGCAATGGTTCATAGGAAGAGATTCTTCTTTAACAGGGATGGTCAAGTGTAGAGTGTCAATCTAAGTGTCCTCTGTAAGGTGTTGACATGCAGAGTACTCGATAGTATGAAAGCAAGGTTCATTGATGTATTGAAAATGAAAAGGACATTTGATTTCAAGAATAAGTTCAGGAACATTTGAAATTTTGCAGAGAAGCTGTAGTTCAGGGATACAGAACACATTTTGCATCAGAAGTCATAGATTTTTTTTAAAGACTCCAGCAAACTTGGACTAACAAACACTGTAGGGTTCCTTTTGTCATTTGTTCTAAAGCTTACATTGAAAAGATACACACAATTATAGAAAAAAATTGTCAGGAAGTTTGATGTCCTTCGTCTCCTTCAACACCATTCCATGTATCCCAAAACTGGAAGCTGTTCTGAAGAGATGCTTCTTTTAGATTCTCTCAGTCCTCCAACGTAATTCTATGCTCAACTTCCACTGAAGGTGCCTTGGATATTTCTAGAGAGGTGTTCCTTTTGATTAAAAAAAAATACTGTTTTAAAATTTTGTTCTATTTCCCTCTTTTATGGGAACTCAGCATGCCTTACCCTGTGAAAGTAGATCAACTGTAACTTTTTTCTTTTGAAATGCTTATGTCAAAAGAAGAGAAGATCAGTGCCCACCATTTCTGTGTATTTAGTTGTGTAAAACCTATGATACCAAACTTCCTTTTGATTCTCATTTTGTAGGATATCTTGCCACCGTGAAATAGCGGTGTTGATGTGCAATCGATCAAATGCCTTCTACAATTTAAATAAATGGAGTGAAGCCTGTTACTCCGCAGAACTGAGCCTCCAATGGGATCCAACCTATGTTAAGGTATATGTTTCATGTGCTTATTTGTTTATAAGTTGATGTTCTTTCATCTGTATAAAGTGCAAGTTATCACCTATAAAGCCCTAAACAGCTGGGGTCCTGCCTATCTTCGTGACCGCATCTCCCCCCCCCCCCCATGAACTATAGTGGGCTCTAAGATCTGCAGGGGAGGCCCTCCTATTGGTCCCACCACTGTCACAAGAGAGGGCTTTCTCAGTGGTAGCCCCACGGCTTTGGAACTCCCTTCCCAGGGAGATTAGACAGGCCCCTACACTGTCCTCCTTTCGTAGGGACTTGGAAGACGTGGATCAAGCCTTTGAAAATGTTTGGACCCTAGTTGTCCTGCGTAGTAGTCGCACCTTCTGCACTTTATCCCATGCCCTCTCTCTCCAATACTGCAGCTGGCACTTATTTTATTCCTACAGTTTGTCCTTGTTTACAGCAATTTACCACCATGGTTAGAAGGCCGCTGTTTGATTGAGTCTGAGCTGATGTTTTTATATGTGCATGTGTTTTATTTTATTGTATTTTATATTATACTTATGGTTTGTTTTTAGGCACTTTGCGCCGTCTGTAAGCCACCCAAGTCCCTTCAGGGAGATGGTGGCAGGATATAACAATAAAGTTGTTGTTGTTGTTGTTGTTGTTGTTATTATCATCATCATCATCATCATTATCATTATTAAAGGAATATTTCATCAGTGTGTGTTGGAGTTCTTGACTCTTTCCAATGCGGCATTTAGATGCTACTGATTATGTTATTTTTAAAAAAATCTTGGGGTTTCTACGTTTCAAGTTTTCTATTCTATACATTCCCACTGAGTTAAAAAGGGATGCACAAGAACTGTTCTTTTTCATAGTAAGCACACTAGTTGTCAGTGCTAATTCACTCATGAGGTTGCCAGTCATCATGTGTAAGAATTTATAAATAAAGCAGTGATGGACAACTGCCAGGGGATTATGGGTGCACAGTGTGTCCCCCAGATGTGTTGGATACAATTTTACATTTTTTGGAAATAACTTTTAACTGAAAAAAAACCTCCCATATTTCTTAGGAAGCATAAGAGTTTTGGAAAATGGCATTCATAACATTTTGGGAAAAAACACCTTTTGGAGATCATAACTTTTTAGAAAACCATGAGCTTTCAGAGAAGAGCCAAAAAAACCTTTAAAGTAGAATCTTCTCTTGTGGTATACAACCAGATATAATTATGCTAGGCAATAGTTTCAGTTATTAGACTGAATAACCTGTTATCTTTGATCTGTTAACAAAACAGAGATTTTGCCAGTACTTAAAAATAACAGCAGTGTTTCAGAAGTGTTTTTAATTGTCCAAAATATACACACTCTCCCATAAAACAACTTTTTTTATATCATGCCCTCAAGAGATAAAAATGAAGTAGACTTTGATAATAAAAAAAACATATTTGGTTTACTCACAACCTTCATGTGTTCAGCATACACAGGTACAAAATTTATCAGTCCAGTTTCAGATATGTTTGAGATAATTTTCTGCGCAATCTGTCCAAAACATCTCTTACAGCAAAACAGCAAGTAAGTGTGTGATTTGAAGTCTGAAGTAGTGCGTAGTCTGCTGTCTGTGGTAGTCTGTGGTCTGAAGTAGTCATGTGGTCGGCAGCCCCTTTTATAACTTCTCAGGAACCATAGAGTAAAGGAAGCTGTATACGAGAACATACATACAGGAAATAGCAACAGAAAAATAGATAAACATTAATCGAAAATGCTTGAAGAAGGTTGTCATTTCCAACAAAGGGTAATTATGCTGTTTTAAGCACTGGATAGCACAGGAAATTAAAAGGGAATTTTAATTTGAGGATAATTTGGTGAGGTTATATCTAAGGTTGGTTTACTTGATAGGATAATCTGGAGGAGGATGGGAACAGAAATGTTTAGAAATTTAAATAAGAATACCTTGTTCGAGTACATTAGTGTTTTACATCTCAGTTCTTTTAAAGTCAGTTTACTTTGAGAGTTCACCATTCTTAGTTAGGAAGACATGCTATTACTTTGTTGAAGTCCCTTTTTTCTTTGTTGGCTCTTCTGGTCTGCCTGTGTGTTGCTTCAATGGAGTAATGATTCCCCTGAGACTCACCTCCTTCCTACTTTCCATTCTAGGGATACTACAGAGCTGGTTACTCTATGATGAAAATGTCACATCCTCTCGATGCAGCCAGAATATTTTCTCAAGGTTTGAAACTCCTTCATGGTTCATCAGATGTGGGCGAGATATCTGATTTTATAGTTGGAGTCTTTTCAAGTGCTAACAGTAAGTGACATGAGAAACAATGGATGGAATTTACAATTTCAGTTACAAATGTGTAAACCTAGAGTTAAGAATTCAATAGTGTAGGGAATTTATAGGTATTGTGAAAGCCCCCCAATCCTGATTTCCAAGATACCAGCTGCTGCAAGCAACAGTGCTCCATTTTTCTGTCAGCTGGGAAATAGCAGAATGAAACACTGCCTTCCCCCATGAATGGTTCTGTTGTGACAGTGAGAAGCAGGAGCCCCGTTGCAATTTCTCGTCACATCAGAGATCACTCAGAGGAGCAGAGTGGAAAAACCAGTCTGCTGCATCCTGATAAACCAGAGAAACAGACCCTCATCACTTGCAGAAGCTGCAGGAAAGTGGGTACAATGGACAGCGGATAGATGGTTGGGCTGGGATCCTGCAAGGTAACACTCTATCGGGAATGTAGTTAGTAGGCATGGCTAAGTCGGAACTTTCATTATTCGGAATAAAGTCGGAAAGATTTCCTTTTTGAAGCAATTTTGAAGTTTTTAAGAAAACCCGGAAGTCCTTTGCCATTTCGAAGCTTTGTCGCCATTTTTTTAACAACTCATGAAGTGAATTGGAAATGATTCAGTGATTCAGCTTCCCCCTTATAACTCACTTCTGTGACTTTAAAACTGGCTGCCTTTAATGCTTGAGGAAGAAGTGGAGCAAATCCATGCTTCTCTCTTATAACTTGCGTCTGTGACTTTAAAACTGGCTGCCTTTAACGGCTTGAGGAAGAAGCGGAGCAAATCCATGCTTCTCCCTTGTAACTTGCTTCTGTGACTTTAAGACCGGCTGCCTTTAATGGCTTGAGGAAGAAGCGGAGCAAATCCATGCTTCAAGCGAGTTATAAGGGAGAACCCACTCCTGGAGGAAAACAACTACTTTCAAAGTAGGAACCATGCTATGAAACAGGAAATAACACTTTCAAACTATTAAAGATTTGGAAGTCTCGGAAGGTTCAAAAAGTTTAGAACCTTTTTTCTGTGAAAATAGGAATTGACTTTAGAATCGAACCACAGGCAGAATTCAACAGTGAGAGTACGCTCGCATCACTGCCCTAGCAAAGGGAAAACCACGCGGCCGCGGAGAAAGAGGCGGAGTCTTCGACGTCATCGGTCGTGCTGGCACAGTTTGCTCTCCCAAGACGCGAGTTTGCGGCGGCTCTAATTTGTTTTTTTTAACAACTGCTTCACTGGGAGCTGTGTTTCCCCCTTGCAGGGTGCATGTGCCCTGCTTTGTGCTGGTCAGTGACCATAATAAAGTTTTGTATTGTATTGTATTGGAAACAGTTTAAGAAGCCCTGGTTTATACAATCAGTGAAATGAGGAGGTAGTTTCCACCTTCTTCCTCCTTACTCCTGTTCCATTGTCTAATCTCATCTCATTTGCGGTGTGTAAATTATCAAATGTCTTGCTCCTGTCCCAGCTTAAAATGTCATCCCTCATAAACACTCCCCCCCCCCCGCCTATTTCCACCCACTTAGCACACTCCTGCCCTAGTTTAAAATATCATCCCTGGCTTGCAAATGTACTCACCCTCCCTTTCTATCCATTCCTGCCCTAGATTAAAACTTCATCTTCACAAATGTGCCCATCCCTTCTTTCCATCCACTTCACTTACTCCTGGATTAAAGTTTTATCCTGGCAAACACTCCCATCCCCTTTCCTCAACCAGTTCCATCTTAAAATCTCATTCTTATCTTGCAAGTGCTTTCTCTTGCATCTTCCATTCAACGTACCTCAACTTCTCAAACACATACAGCTTATGAACGGAATACAGACAGGCCCCAGTTTGCAAAAAGTGCACTCATTGTAATTTGGCCAAAAAAAGGCAGACCTTACTTCTTTAAATACCAAAGAATTCCTTCTTTAAACACCAGAGTGTTAGAACACTAAAACTTACAGTAATGGAAAGGACAAGGAGTGCCTCCTGTTTATCCTGCCTCGGCTTCCTTTGGGTGCATCTATGCTGTGGAATGAATGCAGCTTGACAAGACTTTAACTGCCCTTGTTCAGTGCTATGGAATTTTAGCAGCTGTAGTTTTACACTGTCTTTAGCCATCTCTGCTACAGAATGCTGCTGCTTCAGCAAACTACAAATCCTAGGATTGCATAGCATTGAGCTGTGGCAAACATGAAGGAAAGAAGGGGAGGAGTGGAGAGATACATGGAGGATGAAGGAGATGTCAGCAGGAAGAAAGAGGAAATGTGGGATTGGAAAGATATCGATAGAAGGAAGAAAGAAAAGGGGCTGGAGAGATATCGATAGGAAGAAAAAAGGAAAGGGGCCTGGAGAGATCGATAGGAAGAAAAATAAAAGACGGGTGAAGAGATAGAGACACGCTTTGGCTCAGCGCTAAGATTTCATGGCAGGGAGGATGTGGAGAGGCCCATTTGTAAGGAGTTGTAAGTAGGTTGGATATTTGTAATTCGCGATAAGGGAGATTAGGGTGCTATTTGACAGCTGAGATGTAGAAAGTGCACCGGGACTGTGGTGCAGCTGGCTGGGAGTCAGCTGCATCAAGATCACTACTGACCGAAAGGTCATGAGTTCGAAGCCAGCCCGGGTCGGAGTGAGCTTCAGACCAAATTTGTGTAGCTTGTTGTTGATCTTTGCAGCCCAAAAGACAGTTGCATCTGTCAAGTAGGAAATATAGGTACCACTTTGTGGGGAGGCTAATTTAATTAATTTACGAGGCCATAAAGATCAGCGAGCATGCGGGGGAATGAGGAAGTACTTCATCAGTGTCGCAGATGGACGGTGAAGCGACAACTCCCCTGGTGGCCAGAAAAAGTTGGAATGTTAAATAGCCTCTGACTGACTGTCTATATGTGTTGTGTGTCTAAGGCATTGAATTTTTCCTGTATATGTACATTGTAATCCGTCCTGAGTCCCCTGCGGGGTGAGAAAGGCAGAATATAAATACTGTAAACAAATAAATTATTGCCAATTAAGAGTAGTATTCCTGTACTACTGTATATACTCAAGTATAAGCAGAGTTTTTCAGCCCTTTTTTAGCCTGAAAAAGCCCCCCTCTGCTTATATTCGAGTCAATGTTATTTATTATTTTACTCTATTATTATTATTATTATTACATTTAATAATAATAATAATAATAATAATAATAATAATAATAATAATAAACGACTTTATTTTATATACCACTCTATCTCCCTGAGGGGACTCAGAGCGGTTTCCAAATAACATCATCATAAGGTTAACAAAACAATATAAGCATAAAAATTGTCGCCGTAACATATATATTAAAAAGTAATCGTGCCTGTTCAAGGCAATTTAAAAGGCTGGACCAAGCTTAGTGCAAGCTCAAAAATTCTAGGGGGCCCAGGAATTAAGTGCAGTGCTATAGCAGGCAACAACAATAATAGGTATGGGTCTGTGGCTGTTCATTTCCGGGGCCTATTAGAGGAAGTGACTTGGGTAATTGGTAGGAAAAATAAGGCTATATTCAACAGTGTCTATTATTTTAGTTTGTTATTATTATTTTACTGACACAAAAGCACAGTATGTCATAGCAAATGAGATATATATGCTGAATTTAATATCACAGAATCACAAGTCGAACACTTCCCAAGCGTCTAGGACTGTGATGTATTTTCAAATGATGCGCGCAGATCCAAATAAGGTGGCCTTTTGCAGTTGACAGATTGTGATTTTTTCGATGTTTATTGTTTCCAAATGCCGGCTGAGTTCTTTTGGCACGGCACCCAGTGCGCCAATGACCACCGGGACCACCTGTACTGGTTTATGCCAGAGCCTTTGCAGAGTCAGAGATTGTGCTTAGTCTGCTGTTGTTATTATTATTATTATTATTATTATTATTATTATTATTATTATTATTATTACATTTACATTCTTTTATTCTATTGACTACTTTTACATTGACTTTACTTTATTCTTACTGTTATTACATTTATTATTTCACTATTTGTTATTGTTATTATTAGATTTCCATTATTTTACTCTCTTTATTATTATTAGAAGGATATATAAGCACATTTACATTGAAGATGGTTAGAATATTGGTTTAATCAGAGTTGGACAGTCTTATTTTAAATTACAGTTTCATGTAAATATTCAAAAACATTTAACCTACCGATGCTTCCATCAATGTAATTTTATTTGTAGCTGTTGCATTTCCCACCCTTAGCTTATACTCAAGTCAATGCGTTTTCCCCAGTTTTCTTTGGTAAAATTAGGTGCCTCAGCTTATATTCGAGTCGGCTTGTACTCGCGTAAATACGGTAACTAATCTTTTTATTGCCAATCCACATGACAAATAACAAGCATTATAACAGAATGTACTGTATAAAAGGTCTATTTTATTTTGCATTCTCTGCAGATGAAAGGATCGTTACTCTGGACTTTTTATCCATTTGTAGAAAGATTGTGAATGGTCACTACAGTCCCAGTGTTTGGCAACAAGTGGTTGAAAAGCTGGCAAGGAAAGGATTGTGGCAGGTACGTCTCTCACCATTGTAAATGTTGGTAGTCTCCTTCTCCTAAACTTAGGGTTATTTAAAAATGGAGCAGAAGTTTAGAAAAATGATTAGAAGTTCTGGAAGCTGTTTGCTTCAAGGTTTTGGATCTCACAGCTATGAAGTCTCTGTTTAATATTGGATAAACTGACACAGGTTTCTTCTGAATGTGTATGCTCAACACATTCATTATATATCACTAGCCGTCCCCTGCAATGCGTTGCTATGGCCCACATGGGAGTTCTGTGTGGGAGGTTTGGCCCAATTCTATTGTTGGTGGAGTTCAGAATGCTCTGTGATTGTAGGTGAACTATAAATTCCAGCAACTACAACTCCTAAATGTCAAGGTTTGTTTTCCCCAAACTCCACCAGTGTTCACATTTGGGCATATTGAGTATTTGTGCTAAGTTTGGTCCAAATCCATCATTCTTTGAGTCCACAGTGCTCTCTGGATGTAGGTGAACTATTTATTATTTATTATTATTATTTATTATTTATTATTTGCACTTGTTAACCGCCACTCTCAGCCCAGGGGCGACTCGTGGCGGTGTACAGAACATAGAAAAGACAACAATTTACAATAGAACAGGACCATAACACAACATATAAAAATCCGCTTCGTCTAGTTTGGGGTCATAGTCAAACTCATAGTCATAGTCCATTCCGGTGGTCATTCCAAAGGACCTGGCACTAGCTGAAGGCCTTTTCGAAGAGCCAGGTTTTCAGGCCCTTGCGGAAGGCCATGAGGGAAGGCGCCTGTCTGATTTCAGCGGGGAGGGAGTTCCACAGCCGGGGGGCCACCACCGAGAAGGCCCGCTCTCTCGTCCCCGCCAGGCGTGCCTGTGAGGCAGGCGGGACCGAGAGAAGGGCCTCCCCAGATGATCTCAAGGTCTTCGTGGGCTCGTAGGCCGAGATGCGGTTTTCAAGGTATTTTGGGCCGGAACCGTTTAGGGCTTTGTAGGATAACACCAGCACCTTAAATTGGGCCCGGTAGCAAATCGGCAGCCAGTGGAGCTGGGACAGCAAGGGCGTTGTATGCTCCCTGCGTCAACTCCAAAACCAAAGGACACTGCCCACCAAACCCTTCCAGTATTTTCTGTTGGTCATGGGAGAACTGTGTGCCAAGTTTGGTTCAATTCTTTTGTTGGTGGGGTTCAGAATGCTCTTTGATTGTAGGTGAACTATAAATCCCAGCAACTACAACTCCCAAATGACAAAATCAGTGTTTTTGAGTGAAGGACGTACATTGGCCTGATATGTGTATTGTGTCCAAATTTGGTGCCGATTCGTCCAGTGGTTTTTGAGTTCTGTTAATCCCACAAACGAACATTACATTTTTATTTATATAGAAGGATGACACCACGCCTCATAGAGATCTGAAAAAGACATGAAATCTAAACATATTTGTAAGTTAATATTTAGAGAACATATGCTCACCCCTAAAATGTATGTTTTTCCTCCTAGTCTTGTCTGTTGTTGGCTGCTGAGAAAGACAAGTTGCCAAGGCATCTGCAAGTCACCAATGTATCACTCAGGGATCTGTTTGAGGTTAGTCCTGAACTTTCAGTCGAAATCATTTACTAGGCTTAATTGAATGCATAGACTCAACAGGTGGATTCTATCAAAAAGTACACTGATAAGAAGGTGTTTTTGGTAAATAATATCTCCTTTAAGACAGAGGGTAAACCTAGAAAGGTCTGCAGAATCGCTCTTAGCAGCTTATTGCAGCAATTGTTGAATTTCCCAGGACTGAAGGTTGGTGGTAATTTGGCTACTAATCTAATTTTTTAAAATTAATAATATTTATTGAGTTTTACAAAGTGGATTTATAAAATTGAGGATTTTATACCCTGAACACGCCTGGTCTTGTCTGATCTGGGCTACTAATCTAAATTTGAAGCTGTGTGGACCTCACCTTACATATACGTGTCTGAGGTCTGCAGAAGGTGGGCTACAGTATACAGTGTGGAAGTATATGGAAGAGGACATTCTTTTCTCTGGCACCCTGATTGGCACCAACAGAAAACATTACTTTTTTATTAAAGCCTTTGCAACCTAAGTGGTGTTACCTAAATCTTCAGATACGTTGCAGTTGTAATTATTTCAGATTAGTTTAACTGATTTCAGTAGTCTTGTTTTAACCTGTCACATTGTTTGATTATACAATATATTCTGTTTTAATATTGTTTAAATTAGTGAAACTGAATTTCTGGTACATTGACCTACTTTCAGGTAATATAGGGGTTTTTTTTCATGTCAGTCGCTTCTGCTGTGAAAGAATTGGCTGTCTGAAAGGACACCAGGGGACACTAGGATGTGGTAGGCCTCTCTCATGTCTCTGCGTGGGGAGCTGACAGACGGGAACTCACCCCACTCCCTGCACTCGAACCATCGACCTTTTGGTCAGCAGTCCTGCCGGCACAGGGTTTAACCCATTGCACCACCACAGGCTCCTAATATAGGGTGGGAACCAAATATTTGAATGAAAAATCAAAAAATTATTTGGATCATAGCCTTTTTGTTTATATTATTCTTCTGGGTTATGTTGGTAGCAAAGGATGGCAATTCAATGTGCCCCAAGTATAACCCAATACTATGCATTTTCTGTTTTCTTTCAACCAGAAATATGTTGTTTTTGGTCAATATGAGAAGATGGAAAGAATGCCTGTACTAGTGAAATGGCTAATTTCCATGGGAGCAAATATACAGAGTATTGGAACCTATCCCCTTCATGCTGTCATGAAGCTTTGTATCAAAGCAAGTAAGTGAATCTTATATAAAGCCTTCTGAAATGGATGATAGCCTGGATTCCGATATCAATTTGAAGAGGAATTTTACATCAATAGCTTTTAGTTTGTCACTGAATTAACAAAGCCTGTTTCATTGTCTGGGCTGAGGCCACTAGAAGGTGCTAGAGAGAGAAGGATAGTCCATTGTATGAGGGAAAACCATTCCCCCTGTTTTTGCTGGTTGTTCCCCCTCCTTACTTCCCATATCATAAATGAGGGTTGTTTCCATGAATAAGGACATGGGGGGGGGGGGGGAGAGGAACAACAAGAAAACACGGGGAAATAGTTTTCCTCCTTCAACTCACCCTCTCTCTAGAGCCCCCTAATGGCCTCTGCCCAGATAATGGAACAGTACCCAGAATTCTTATCTATTATAATCTTATTATTTATTTATTTCTAGCATTTCTACCCATCCTTCTCAACCCCTGAAGGAGGACTCAGGATGGCTTACACTTGGCAACAATTTGATGCCATTACATCTAACAAACACAATAAAACAACAATTAAAGCAATAAATAGAGCATTAATTAAAACCATAAAAACAGTAATGTCAGCCGTATCCCCATTCCAGTTGAATTCCATATCCAAAGTGCTATTATGCCTGCTATCCAAAAGCCTGGTCCCAGAACCACAATTTTAATTTCTTCCTAAAAGACAGGCGGGATGAGGCTGATCTTATCTCATTGGGAAGCGAGTTCCACAGGCGGGGGGCCACAGCCGGGAAGGCCCTGTCTCTCGTCCCCACCGGATACATTTGCGATGCTGGTGGGAGTAAAAGTAGGGCTTCCCCAGATGATCTTAAACTGTGAGGCGGGATGTAGACGGAGATGCGTTCGGACAAGTAAGCTGGGCCAGAATTGTATAGGGCTTTATAGGTCAAAACCAGCACTTTGAATTGAGTTTGGAAGTGGACCGGCAGCCAATGGAGCTGACACAGCAGCGGGGTGGTATGCTCCCTGTATGTCGCTCCAGTTAGTAATCTAGTTGGACTAATCTTGTAATGACCTTTAAATTTAAATGAAAAATCATGTTGTATTTTCTTAAATTATTCAGAAGGAAATCAGCTTTTCCGATGGTTACTGAGATATAAGCCTGAACTGATAAATCTTATCAACCAGCAAGATGAAGATGGATTTACTGTTCTCCATGTTGTAGCATCCATATCCAGTGGATATCCTTTGAACAGTAAGTGGAATACAAAAGTCGGCACTGTCTTTGATTCCCCCCCTTTTCCAGTTAAGGATTCAAATAAGGTTATTTTTATTTAAGGAAGAAGTTGTTAAAATAATTGAATATGCATCAAAGATGTCTTAAATTACTGTTCCTTCTAAGGATGCTTGGTCTGTCATGAGCAGGAGGAATGTTGCCCAAATAGTTTTCTTTTGGAAGAGAATCTGGTTTTGCTATCCTTCTGGCAGAAGGTTGTGCAAACCTGGGAGGCAGAACCCAAGCATTCACCAAAAGCTAAAGCAATTTTGGCTGATCACTGTGATCAAAATAAAATGTCCTTTTTCTTTGAAGCAGATGAGGAAATTACATGGTTATCAAATGGAGGAGAAAGTTAGAAAGTGACCATAGGTCTAAATTATGTATAGACATGTTAAAGAAACAGTACACTTAAACGTAGTGAATGTTGTAAGTTCCTAATGATTTCCAAATTAAGTTGAACTTGTGCAAAATATTCTGGACTATGTTCTAAAACATCTTCTGCTGTTATGATAAGAACGAGAACAGTGGAGTGAGTTACAAAGAATAAACAGAATGAACACAGTTTGGAAAGAATGCTGGTTCCTGAATGATGATTATGTATGTCATAGTATGTAGTTGTTCATTTGCCGCCACTTCATGTTTTTGTAAGGATTCTATATAACAGTATAGCAAGTTAATTTGCATCTTCTGGGTAGAACTCTTCAAGTTCAATATACTATCAGAACCCATTCATGAACATTAGAGTTCAAAAAATCCTCTTTATAACCCAAGGACGGAAATGAAGAATTTGTGGCCTCCTAAGATGTTGTTGAATAGCAATTCTAGTCACTTTTAGTCTGCAGAACACGTTTTAGGGATAATGGGAGTTGCAATCCTATGATATTTGGGGAGACCCATGTGAGCCTAAGCACATCACACAGCCCCCTTTCTGAACCTGGCTTCAATCTGGTCTCCTGCCTTGTCTATCATGATGAAGGTAGGATGAAAATGAAGCATTAGTATAGTGGCTTGCATCTATTGTAGCTTATACTCTAATTTACTCTCTCAATTTGATGTTATTTAATTTTGACAATTTCTACAGAAATCCTAGATGGTACTAGGTTTTCAGTGTACTTACCATTGTTTTTGTAACAACTTGAAGTGACTTTTGTTTTGGCATGACTCCCTTATCTACCAGTTTGCTTTTGTCGTTTCACTTACCCACACTCGCAAAACTATTCTTCCCATCGGTGTTAGTGAACTTCTCTAGGTCCTCCATGCAGTTCAGCTCATACATATGGGCAGTCCCTGAGTTACAAACATCCTTCTTACAAATGACTCATAGTTAGAACGGGGGTGAGACAACAGGAAGTGAGAGAAATCTACCCCTAGGAAGAGAAATCATGGAGAACAGGTCTCAACTGAAGCTTGGCCACCAATCCTTGTTTCCTCAACAAGTCAATTTTTTCAAAATGCAATTATCACAGAAAGTGAAGTCAAACCTTCTGAACAGGGGCACAAATAGCAAAACAAAATACCACAAGGGTGTTAATTTTTCCCTATCCCAGAGGTCCTCAAACTTTTTAAACAGAGGGCTAGGTCACAGTCCCTCAAACTGTTGGAGGGCCGGATTATAATTTGAAAAAAAATACGGATGAATTCCTATGCACACTGCACATATCTCCTTTGTAGTGCAAAAAAACTTAAAAACAATGCAATAATTAAAATTAAGAACAATTTTAACAAATATAAACTTATTAGTATTTCAATGGGAAGTGTGGGCCTGATTTGGCTGATGAGATAGGATTGTTGTTGTTGTGTGCTTTCAAGTAGTTTCAGACTTAGGTTGATCATGAGCAAAGGCCGGGTAAATTACCTTGGAGGGCCGTATCTGGCCCCTGGGCCTTAGTTTGAGGACTCCTGCCCTATGCTATTCAATGCGTATACACACACACACACACACACACACACATATGGAGTTACACTTAAAAATGTACCTGTTCCGACTTACATACAAATTCAACTTAAGAACACACCTATGGAACCTATATTGTTCATAGCTTGTGGACTGCCTGTAGTCAAAATATAGGATTCACTCTTATCCACGGCTTATCCTATTTAATAACATCCAGAACCTGTGGATAATAACGAATATGAATAAGTGTATGAGAGTGTCTCCTGTGGATACAGGAGTCATTATTATTCTCAACTAAGTACTCATGAAGGCATTAAGGCCCCTTCTACACTGACAATTTAATGCAGTTTCAACTTTGAAGAAAGTGGGGGTTTTGTGCAGATGATTACATAGGAAATTCTGGAACAAGTTCAAAGCCCTGATGTTGATTACACAAATTACAGAACACTGATACACTTTAAGGACTTTCTTTTTATGCACTCTTGCAGGAGTTTGACTGGCCACTGCAGTTTGAAGCTAGCTTTGAATTGCATTAAATAATCACTATAGATGCGGTCCTTGTATTTTCTTTTTAGTTGCGTGGATGTTTCCTTTTTTTGGGCACTTTGCAAAGGACAGTTGAGGAAACAGAAACTTATAGTGTGGAAAAGAAACCTAGAGCTTATGGGAAATAGAAACTTAACCATACTCACTTTCTGGGAGTGTGGATGCAATAAAGAAATGAGAAAGTCAAGATCTATATAAATAAAAATGTAATGTTCATTTCTGGGATTAACATAAGTCAAAAACCACAGGGCGAATTGACACCGAATTTGGATACAATAGACCCATCAGGCCAATGAGTGACCATAACTCATAAAACACTGAAAAACAATGCAGAAGAGACTTAAAAAGGCAAAAAACAAAAAATACATTACAATGGATGCGCAAAACCACACACACACATATATACACAAACACACATATATATACATACACATACATATATACAGACACAAAACACATATACACAGACTGGGCCACAGCAACGTGTGGCAGGGGATAGCTAGTAGTACATATAAGTGAAGTAGGCAAGAACAGAGTTGGTGTAGGGTTTTTGATCCGTTCATGGAGAGTTCACATCTAAAAAAGAAAAGAGCGAGAAATCAGAAGAAGCTAGGAAGTGGGGTTCTGGAAAAGAACTCAGAGAAGACACGATGAAAGCAAGAACACTGGAAGTTGCATTACCAGAGGACTAGAATGAACTAGAATTGCTTTAGAGATACACCATAAAGTAAGAAAATAATCCAGACTTTACTTAGGTGTGTATTTCCACCCCTTTCCATTATCTACTTGTTCTTTTGCTTTATTGATACCATTGTTTAGAATGCCTTTTTTGTAGAAATATTTTTACAATAATTTCTTGAAATGGATACTTTTTGGAACTACAGTCAACCCTCATTTGCATTTTTTAACTTTTGTGGATGTAATTATTTACAGATTTGATTAAAACAGTGGTTCCCAACCTGTGGTCCGTGGACCTCTAGTGGTCCACAAGTACTAAAATGTGGTCCGTGACCTCACTGTTACTACACCATTGCAACAAAAGTGACTGCTCCCACAAAACCAGTGCCGAGGCTTTTAAAATCTGGTTTTCTGTGGACAAGCAGATGGTGACTACTGGAAGGCATATGTTCTGTATCAGAAACTAGAGCTGATGTGGTCTATCCAATGCAATTTTGAACTGCTCCGAGTCGCCTCAGGGGTGAGAGGGGCGGTATATAAATGTGGTAAATAAATAAATAAATTTTCTGAATCTGTATCCCAAATAACCAAAACGAATCTTAAGTTGACTAAAATTGATTAATAACCCTTTTGGTACTAATGTTGAAGAGTGGTCCCTAATCAAAGTAAGTTTGGGATCCACTGGATTAAAACATTCTCTCTGTGAATCTCTGCATCTTCCAATGCAATTCTATGCTGTTTCCATATAAAAAGCAGTATGCATATGTGTATGTATATATGTATGTATGTATGTATATATATACATACACATACACACACATACAGGAAGTACACACACACACACAGATAGATAGATAGATAGATAGATAGATAGATAGAGATATTTAAGTAATACCAACAGACAAGAAACACAATAAAAATACCATTTATTAAAATGTGGTTTTTCACTTTCATTGGGGTCCTGGACCCCTAACCTACTATGTAAGAGTTGGTATCCCAAAGCTTGTTTGGCTTTTGTGCTGAAGCGCCTTTCTAAATATTTTCTCACAAAAATAGAGCTGTGTGTCGTGTTTTTATTTTTAAATTGGATGCTTTATTTCATCTGTTGGTTGGCAGCGAGGAAGTATGTATCTGTTTCCAGCAAGAAAGTAGCATTTTAATTCACTTTAAGTCATTCATGGACCTCTTTTTTGTTTGTTTGTTTATACATGGGACTTGGACCATTAATTTAGTTGGTTGTCATAATATTTCTTTTACTTCCCACTTGAGTGGTAATGAGTAAAACATGAAACCAAAAGGAACTAAAAGGCTGAATAAATGTTCAGATGTTGCTGAAAGAGAACAAAAAATGGAAAAGCCATAGTCCTAACATCTGTTGCCTGTACTATGTATGTTTAACTTAATTGATAACACAACTTTAAAAATTTCTAGTTTAGTGATTACTATTTAATGGATTAGCCATGGTTATTTGCTAACAGATGCATGTAATACACTCCATTAACTTGCAGTGAGGCAGTCATAATTTTGTGCTCCTTCTCTTTTTGACACAACAGTCTATATTACTTAGCATTAATTTTGGTTAGGAACAAATGAGAAACAGGAGTGTCTTGGTGAATTAACGTGAATAAGTTTGCTGGAATTTCCTGGACGACCAAACCCAGATGGTGGTGCTGGGTGACTCCTGTTCGACCCCTGGCCTTTGGTCTGTGGGGTTCCTCAGGAATCCATTCTGTCACCCATGCTATTTAATATCTACATGAAACCGCTGAGAGAGATCATCCAGAGTTTTGGAGTTTGGTGTCATATTTATGCAGACGACACCCAACTCCATTACTTCTTTCCATCAAAAGCCAAGGATCCCATTCTGTTCCTTAACCGGTGCCTATTAGCTGTAATGGACTGAATGAAAGCGAATAGATTGAAATTAAATCCCGACAAGACAGAGGTGCTCCTGTTATTTATTCGTTCAGTCACTTCCAACTCTTCATGACCTCATGGACCAGCCCATGCCAGAGCTTCCTGTTGACCATGGCCACCCCCAGCTCCTTCAAAGTCAAGCCAGCCACTTCAAGGATATCATCCATCCATCTTTCCATTGGTCTGCCCCTTTTTCTTTTTCCTTCCATTTTCTCCAGCATTGTCTTCTCCAAACGTTCTTGTCTTCTCATTATGTGGCCAAGGTACTCCATCTTGCTCCTGTTCCGTCACAAGGCAGATCAGGGTATAGGGACACCACCTGTGCTGGATGGGGACACACTCCCCCTTAAGACACAGGTTCATAGTTTGGGGGTGATCCTGGACTCATCACTGACCCTGGAGCCACAGGTGTCGGTGGTGGCCAGGGGCGCCTTTGCACAATTAAAACTTGTGCTCCAGTTACACCTGTATCTCGAGACGCCAGACTTGGCTGTGGTATTGCATGCCCTAGTTACATCTCAACTGGACTACGGCAACGCACCCTATGTGGAACTGCCTTTGAGAGAGCTTGGAAGCTTCAACTGGTGCAAAGGTCAACTGTCAGGTTACTAACCAGATGTTGGGGCTCAGCAGCAAGATGCTGGGGATATTGGGGATTCTGAATTACAGGATGAGATTTTCACTGTGTATATGTCTGTTCCTCAGGTTGAACCACAGTCAGAAATGTAGGCCATAGAGCACATTGACAGGCCAGGGCCAACAATTGCAGAAAAAACAGGGATGTTTCTCTTGAGAATCAGTTTTTCGGGCCTTCTCAGCCTTCAGAAGATGGGGAGTTACTTTGTGATAAGAGATTAGGGCTCCTCACGGAAAGAGCTAAGGAAAGGTTAATGAGAAGGTCCAAAAGACTTAGTGAGAAACAGTCCTTGAGATCACAGGGGCAAAAAAAAAATGATCTCATATTTGTTGGGTCAAGTTTGAGCTTAAATTGAGTTCTGGTTCCCGGGACTTTTCAGAGCAGACAACTTTGTTAACCTATGTTTTTGAATGGATTTTTGCCTTGCTTAAATTCCTGTTTTCATGCTATGGATTATTGACTATGCTTTGACTCCTTGGTTTTTCATGTGCCTTGTTATTGTGGTTTTCATGTACCTTGTCCTTGGATTTCCTATTTTGTGATATCTTGAATTGTCATGGACATTACCATTTTGGACTATTGATCTTTGTATTTTGGACTATTGCTATTTTATAGCATCTTTTCTACTGCCTTTTGGGAAATACCTTCTTCCTTTTTGTAAATAAGCCACTGGACTCTGTTTGATGCTGGGTGAAAAGGTGTTCCTGACCTAGTGTGCGATACCTTTTAACATCATTTGCACTGTTCAATGTGGTACTGTGTTGTATTGTTTATGATTTTTAAATGACTGAATTGTTGTGTTTTTACACATTGAATACTTGCCTCTTATGATGTTAGCTGCTCCAAGTCCTCTATGGGGAGATGGGGTGAGACACTAATAAAATTTATTATTATTATGAATACTCATTGGATCAGTTTCAGAACAGGTGTGTAACATACTCTTCTCAGAGGTATCATGTTCTTCTGATAGGCTCTTGCTTCTCAGATCATACTGTGATAGATCCAAAGAGGATAACTTTATTTTGTCTTGCATTTTAGATCAGGTAGATGATGTAGTGATGCTGCTTGAAGCTGGGGTAGATCCGAAGATCTGTGATGCACAGGCAAGATCTGCTATGGATATCTTCAAAAAGAACAAGAAGTTCAAGGCTCTATCTGTCATCAAAAAACACATGGCTAGTAATATGTCATGCTCAGAGGAGTCAGAAGGTACTTAATGGGGACACTTACTCAATTTATTGCTGTGATTAAGTCAAATTATTTCATGCATTTAGGGTGTGGTATATAGCTTTTTACCCTTTTTTTGTTTACTCCAGAAAAAAGAAACCCCAATCTAGATTGCATCTAGCAACTTTCAAGTGGGAGAGGTTTAAATCTTTCCCATCTGTTTTTCTATTTAAAAATTCAAGATTGTTACACAGGTTTGTGTGTATGTGTGTTTGAGCATGGGCATGGTTTCTTTGCATTTTTTGTCATGTCAGGAGCGACTTGAGAAACTGCAAGTCGCTGGTGTGAGAGAATTGACCGTCTGCAAGAATGTTGCCCAGGGGACGCCCGGATATTTTGATATTTTTACCATCCTTGTGGGAGGCTTCTCTCATGTCCCTGCATGAGAGGGAGCTAATCCGTGCTCTTCCCGGATTCGAACCTGCGACGTGTCGGTCTTCAGTACTGCTGGCACAGGGGGTTAACCCACTGTGCCACCGAGGGCTCCGACGTTTATTTGCATGATTTATATTGATAATAGATGACACTTCAAAGCTAGGATCCCTCAAGCAAACTCTGATCCTCTGTCATTTTTCCAGGGGAAACACCAAAATTATAAGATATCTACAAAGGATAATGCATGTTTGCATGTGTCTTTGCCTTCCTCTAAATTTACTGGGTTGGTGCTTTGTTTACTGTTTACACAGAGATCTGGTACCTTCCCAATCTTAGTTCCAATTGAAGCACTTTGCCTGAATATTATGGATTGCCCCGTGACCTTTTTTTTTTTACAAGGCAGAACCGCAGGGCAACCTACATAGATTGCTCTACACAGATCTTAAGAAGTAGGATTCCAAAACATGGAACAAATTTCTACTATTCCTCAGAGGTTTCCTATATTGATTACCAAATCATTCTGAACGCATGAGCTCTTGCATTCTTAAAAGAGAGGAAAAAATTGCAAACGTACTTTTCAATCTTGTTCAATGCAGGAGAGACAGAAAGCAAAGCCACTACAGGTTCTGTTGCCTTGCTTCAGGATGCTTTTGAGCAGTTTGCACAGTTTTGTGTGAAAAACAACGTGCATCACATCAGTCTGAAGCATGAAAAAGTTCGGAGGCTTTTGGAGCTGCTGTCTGCAGTAAGAGGTACAGTATGACCTTTCCCTTGGTGTTTTATTGGTGCCAGTAACATATTTCAATGAGTTCTTATGTAAAAGAATAATTTGGGAAAAGAACATCAACTCTGTTCAAGGAGAAAGAATTGTTACAAATACTAAACTGAGGAATGTGTACCTGATGTAAATAAATGCCATAGTTCTAGGCTTTTTGAATCCATTAAAAAAAATCTATGTAGCATTTTTTATATTCATATGAATTAAAATAACCCCATGTTATTGTCGGTGTGAATCCTACATGTAGAAAACTAGCACATCAAGGAATCTTTTACATAGGAATATTTCAAAAGAATGTAGGGTCCTTCCACACAGCCTTATATCCCAAGATATCAAGACAAAAAATCCCACACTCAGATAATAATAATAATAATAATAATAATAATAATAATAATAATAACAACTTTATTTTTATACACCGCCAACCATCTCACCTAGGGGATTCAGGGTGGCTTACAAGGGACACACCCAAGATTACAATTAAAACACACATGTTAAACACTTTAACCAATTAAAACATCAGATAAAACAAATAACAATAGTGATAGATAGATAGATAGATAGATAGATAGATAGATAGATAGATAGATAGATAGATAGATAGATAGATATGGAATATTCTGCCTTGATATCCTGGGATATAGGGCTGCGTGGAAGGGCCCCTATTGTTTGGTTGAAGGAACCCATCTGTTCAACTTATTTTACTTGGAGTAATATTTTGCTATAAAAATAGTATCAATTAGTCTAAAATTCATGGTGGAAATAAAGCTCCCATTTTCACCCAAGACTCTTTCCTATGAGGCTGAGGCTGGATCTACATATAATCCAAATGATCAAAGAAGATAATTCAGATTATCTGTTTTGAACTGGATTATATGAGTCTACACTATCAGACAATCCAGTTCAAAGTGGATAATCTGGATTTTGTATAGCAGTGTGGAACAGACCATAGAATGTGTTACTTGCCCAGGATTTCTCAGGGGGTTTTCTTGGTTGAGCAGATATTTCAACCCTGGTCTCTAAAGTCATAGTACAATGCTGAGATGACCACGCTGCATCGATATCTTGCTAAAAATATAACATATATGAATGTTTACATGAAAGTTAGTGACAATGACATGAGTATTCTGACAAATATCCTTCCACAGAATTTTGTTCTGAATTAGTTTTTTAAATAGAATCTCCTATTTATCAATACACCTTTTATTTTAATTAATTAATTAATTAATTGCATAATGTATTGTCGAAGGCTTTCATGGCCGGAATCACTCAGTTCTTGTGGGTTTTTTCGGGCTATATGGCCATGTTCTAGAGGCATTTCTCCTGACGTTTCGCCTGCATCTATGGCAAGCTTCCTCAGAGGTCATTTCCAATGTGCCTTCAATTATTGAATGTAAGGCACTCCCTGACCAAACTTTGCATAAAATGACCTCTGAGGAAGCTTGCCATAGATGCAGGCGAAACGTCAGGAGAAATGCCTCTAGAACATGGCCATATAGCCCAAAAAAACCCACAAGAACTGAATTAATTGCATACATTTGTGCCCCGCCCTTCTCACCCCCAAGGGTGACCTCACAGCAAGCACCATTTGGTGCCATCACAATCATAAATGCATTCAACAAATTCATTAAATACAAGACATTAAATAAACAATTGCTAAAAAACATGCCAGTTAAAATCAAAGTCCTGGTCAGTTCATTGTCACTTCGAATTGCTTACGTCCTCTTCTCACTTGCTGCTATTCAGTGGTGGAATATTTATAATATTTAGCCTTTCTTGAATGAGCAACTTGCTCAGTCTTCATTTAATGTTCTTGTTGACAGGCTAAATATTATGTTGTTTACTTCAACTACTAATCTCTCCAAAATATAGCATGCCTTCTGTAATCCTTAGACGCTGAACATGGTATTGCTTTGTTCACTCTCAGATGTTTTATTCTTCGCAGTGAAAGAAAGGTGGGTTTTTTGATTTACAAGAAGTCATTTTTTTCAGTGTAATAGAGTATAGGAGTTCCAAGATTGGTATAGGATTATCAGGTAATCAAAAGGGAACAGTTGATAGGACACCGTAGTTCTTGCCTAATATATAAATCTTCTGGTGATTTCTAGAAAGTTTTAACAAATCTTGGAAATATTACTGATTTTCATTTTGCAATCAGCTTGTGACAGGAGGAGCTCTGCTGACTTCCCAAACAAGTGTGTTTTCTAAGCGATTGTTCTTAAACTATGGATCTCAATTCCAAATGGGGTTCCCTTAACTCAATGTTGGGGTCACACAAAAATTGACAGAAGTAAAAGGTTTCTGAATCCATTTACCCATTTATTTTGGATTCTACAGAAAATGCTTCAGCTGTACTTCAGAAAAAGGAAATAAGACTGTTTGACAAGCCTCGCAAATGCTGATTTATTTTCAGTAATATTTGATTTTTATATCTATTTTATATACCTATATACCAAGTCTTGGGTGAAAAAGGATGCAAGTGGAAAACATTTTAAAAACTTTATCCTAAACTATTGGAGAGGGTGCAATAAAAACAACCTAACATGGATTAAGCACTGCCCTATGACTTTGGAAACCAAGAATTGATTCCTCACTCAGCTGTAGAAATCCACAGGGTGACAAAGGGAGAGTCACATAGTCTCTGCTCCAGAAAATCCCTGTGAAAAGAGCCTTTGGGTCACCATTAATTGGGAAAGACCTGAAGGCACACAAAGTCAAATCCAGATGGATATAGGAGGTTGTGTTTTGTTCTGAAACTCTTTGAAAGTTGTTTTTTTTTTAAAGTATATACCCTGCTCTTCTCAACCCCGAAAGGGACTCAGAGCGGCTTACAGATTATGGCAACATTCAATGCCGTATCATACAACAAATAATAAATATAACATCAAATTATAAAACAATTAAAACATTTAAAGCATTTCCGTCTACGAACCCACACGACATCTTCGGTCTTCCGGAGAGGCCATTATCTTGCTCCTGCCTGCATTGCAGGTGCGACTTGTGGGAACAAGAGAGAGGGCCTTCTCTGTGGTGGCCCCCCAGCTCTGGAATTCACTCCCCAGAGATATTAGGCAAGCCCCCATGCTGGCAGTCTTCAGGAGGAACCTGAAAACCTAGTTATTCCAATGTGCCTTCAATTATTGAATGTAAGGCACTCCCTGACCAAACTTTGCATAAAATTACCTCAGAAGCACTTTATTTTATGGTTCATGCAATTAAATCCTTCCTCATCCCTGGATCCCCCTCACCAACAATTTACATTGCCCTATGTCCCAGTGTTTTAAAATTTTTATCTTTGAATTTGGCCCTGCTCAGTGTAATTCCTTTGTGTTTTAATGTTTGATTATTATTATTATTATTATTATTATTATTATTATTATTTTACTTATTTAAATGCAATAAGTGCAACAACAAATAATAAATATAACATATCAAATTATAAAACAATTAAAACATATAAATGCAATAAGTACAACAACAAATAATAAATATAACATCAAATTATAAAGCAATTAAACATATAAATGCAATAAAACATGTTAAAACATAGTTTTAACAGCAGATGTTCCATCAGGGGAAGAATGAGATGCCAAACCAGGGTGGCAGTGTGAATCAAGGCTCAGGTGAATCAAGGGCTATGGCTGGAAGAAACAAATGTTGGTATCTCTGTGTTGACCCAAGGATGCTGAAAAGAAGGCCAGTCAAGATAGAGTCTGGCAGCACCAAGTGGTCCCCAGAAGCTGAGTGAGTCCCTAGAAGCTGAGCCAGAGGCGGCAAGGGAAACAAACACTGCCCCTTCCCTCAAAGCCCCTGGTGATGGTACCTTTAGTTCCTGCTTAGGCATGGACTGCAACTTTAAAGTATCTCGAAATCCCTAAGCAGACAAATATCTGGATCTCAAAATATGTGTATATACCAAACACTGGGAGAGGGATAGTAACTGTAACCTATTTAAAAAGTGGCTTCCAGGAGAGGCAACTCACCCTTTCTGTGATCAGGGAGAAGAAGTGAGCCTAGGAGTCTAGAAAGATTGAGGGTTATAGAAATAGCTTTGGGAGGCACCTTGATCCCCCCCCCCCTTTTGCATAGATCAGTTATAAAGCATTTTAACAACAATATTTACTTTTGAATATTATTAATATGTAATTCTATTTTTATGTTCCTATATTTTTAGGTTTTAAATTGTATTTTGTTTGGTTTTACTGCAAACTTCCATGAGTCTCTTTTTGCAGATAGAGAGAGAAAGCGGGGTATAAATAAGCATGATAAGTATAATCATAGACTGGCAGATAAAATTGTCACTTGCTGCTTTATAATAATAATGATAATAATAATAACCATCATCATCATCATCATCATCATCATAATCTTTATTTATACCCAGCCACCATCTCCCCAGTGGGGACTCAGAGCGGCTTACATGAGGCCAAGCCCAAACAACAAATTACAACAGAGTAAAACCGAAAATGCAAACCGAAAACGCGAACAATAAACAACATCATAATTACATAAAACATGTGAATACATAACATAAAATTACAATAAGCACAAACACAGTGACAATGGGTGGGCTACATGTAATGATTAAAAGAAAAACTAATTAAAAACTAATTAAAAACTCGGGCAAGATGAAAGAGAAGCAGGTTATTTGCGGAGGAGGGCTCATTATAGCAGGGGTTGTGGAATCAAGCATTCCCACGGGGGGGGGGATGGGACGGGACGTATACTTCAATGACAGAACGTTGAGGCTAAGCAATAATGTGAGATTTATACCTTTTTGTCTGTATTTGGACAGTCCATAGCATGCAGTTTTAAAAATCTTGAATTGTGTGATGTTCACCTTCCTTTTTGAAAATAAATAAAAAAAAGAATGGCTTTATATAATGACAGCATAATCTTAATTGGGATGCTTGATGAAAGCCACAGCTAAAGCAGAGAAGGACTGAAAAACAGCAGTATTTGAGAAGGAAATTTATAATAATAATAATAATAATAATAATAATAATAATTTGCTTTTTTATTTTTCCAATTGAAGAAGAGAACTCATATGCAACTTTTTTTGGATGAGCTAACTACTTTGTCACTTGTAATGTCTTACACACAAGTTTACAGCTATAACATTAAATATTTTCGTGTCAGGAGCGACTTGAGAAACTGCATTAAAGCTTTAAAGACTGAGGATGATTGCATATTCTGTTCCAAATTCAGGCTGCATTTATGTGTATGGCCTCTAGGATGTGCTGCAATCCTTAAGAGAGAGACATATAGAGACTTTGCAGCTTGTGATTTTTTTTCTTGCTGCTTTTTTATTTAGTTTGAAGATCCTGTCCTCTTCACATTGTCCTTTTCCTTTGTACCTTGCTTGTCACCAATATATTTATCCCTCCTTATTTGGAAAACTATGCAGAGATCTATGAGAATACTTAAAAGAGTGAGAGAATGGGTAGAATTCTCCCCATACAGTTCAATGTCTGGTACTGATGTTGTTTGGTAAATGTTTGATGTTGTTGGAAATCACAACAGAGGGTAATTAAAAACCTTAATGTCAGGAAATAACATACTAGGAATGTTAATGGATATGTAAAAAGGTTTTAAAAAGGTCTGTTTGGAGACCTGGGTTGGCTTCTCATCAGTCACACAATAAATAATAATAATAATAATAATAATAATAATAATAGCAGTAATAGTAATAATAATATTTTTTTGTGACTGATGCGAACTTGACTCAGACTTTTAAATGAAAATAATAATAACAATAATAATAGTTATTATCATTATAAAAGGAGATAGGTAAATTCTCTGGTGAGATATAAAGGTTGAAGCAGATATCCACCAGGATGAAAACTGACATGTTTTACTCTCATATTTGTAATTCTTGTTTCTTTTCTCAAGTTAGATTTTGCCTTTCTTAAGTAGAAATTATGCAGGGATTCTTAACTCAGATCCATAACAGCACAACTATGTCTTGGGTTTTGTATGTAATCACCTCTGCTTTCAACAATTGTAATGCTCACCATAGTTAATACCTTCTAGTGTTTTTTTCTTATGTGGGCAGTGAAGACAATATATATTCTGCCAGGCTTCCAGTGGGTTTTATTTGTTTGTTAATTGTGCTATCTTTCGTTTGTTTCTACGGTCTCACTTTACTTTCTTATGTTTTGTGTTATTGTTACAAACCACCTTGAGGACACTTATGTAAGAGATACTCAAATGTGGTTTGCAAATGTTTTTTTTATAAATAAATACTTAAATTAAAAAATCTGCAATAAAAATGGAGAGAAATAAGAAAGCTGTAGTTGGAATCCTGGCTTAGGCTGGATCTATAGTGCCATTTGTTTGTGGCTTTTTAAAAATACATTATAACTGTATTCTCAATTTGCTTCTGACATGATAAGTAAATAAAATGCACTGCCATGTAATGCAGTTTCAGAATGCAGTTTAATAATAATAATAATAATAATAATAATAATAATAGTAACAACTTTATTTATATACCCTGCCAACCATCTCCGCTAGGGGTCTCGGGGCGGCTTATAAGGGACAAGCCCAAAAATTACAATTAAAACACAGAAATAAAACACTACAATTAAAAACATCATATAAAGGCAAGCAACACAATTATAAACCACATAAAAACCAGTATGGCTGGGAAAGAGAGCATAACTGAGATACAATTCAAAGTGTGCAATACCTTTTACTGGAGCGTGAGAAAAGCACAAAAGGCTAATGGATTGGGCGGGAAATACTGTCATAAAACATGTTGAGGTAGACCATTTGAGGAACGAGTAAAGTGCAGAGCTCAACGGGGACAGCAAAATTTCAGGTGAGCTGCTTAATTGAAAGCACACCTGAACATCCAGGTTTTTAGTTGACTCCGAAAGGACGACAAGGTGGGAGCCTGTCTGATCTCCCTAGGGAGGGAGTTCCAGAGCTGAGGGGCCACTACCGAGAAAGCTCTCTCCCTCATTCCCACCAACTGTGCTTGAGATGGTGGGGGAAAAGAGAGCAGTGCCTCCCCAGATGATCTCAAGGTATGCACTGGTTCATAGGGGAGGAGGCGATCGCGAAGATAAGCAGGCCCTGAACCATTTAGGGCTTTATATGTGACAACCTGCATTTGAACTGCATTATATGAGTCTATACTATCATATAACCATGTTAAACTGCATTATATAGCTGTGTAGATCCAGCCAAAGTAGGAGTTTACCCACTGTAATAATCAGGAATGAAATTACTCATTTGCATTTTGCCGGGAATCTACATTAAGGAGGATTGAGTATGGCTCCAACCCAGTGCTGCAAGCTAGAATTTACTTAATAAGGGTGAAAGTAAGACAGGATTATGGTTTGTGATATAAGCACCTAACGCAGTGGTTCCCAACCTGTGGACCATCAGTGCTCTGCAAGAACGAAAATATGGTCTGTGGCTTCACTGTTTACTACACTGTTGCAATGAGAGCGACTGGTCTTGCAAAACCCTCTTATAGTGCCGAGGTTTATTAAATATGGGTTTCTGTGGGGGAGCAGATGGTGACTACTGGATTGCATATGTTCTTTATCTAAAACTAGAGCTGATATGGTCTATCCAATGTAGTTTTCTGAATTAGCACCCCAAATAACCAAACTGAATCTAAAGTTGACCAAAAACTGAATCATAACCCTTTTGGTACTAAGGTTAGAGAGTGATCCCTGGTCAAATGATCCCTGGTCAAAAAAAGATTGGGAACCACTGATCTAATGATAATCTCTCAGTTTCAGGTTTCCTTTGAAAGATATAATAGCCTTTTCTTTTCCTATACAGAAATTCCTGAAGAAGTTGTCTTTGATATTCCTTCTGCCTGTGCCAGCCACTTGATAAAGCTGTTTCTGGAGAAACAAAAGTGGCATGAAGTTCTGTTGCTGCTGACCCGAAAGGCCACAGGCGAGGTGGCATCAGGAGAGGACCTTCTTAAGAGCTGCAGTCTTTCAGACTTTGATATTGGGATTGTCTTGGAACAGATGGAAAGATCAGATAAGCGACGAGTGCCACTTATAAAATGCTTGATACAGAGGGGAGGTAAATATTTGTTTGTGTTGACATGTTCTGCAAAACCTATGCATCACAAATTCATTGATATGCCATTTCTATGATACTGAACAGATATGGTACTGATATATTCATAGAATCATAGAGTTGGAAGAGATGGTCCATTCAGTCCAACCCACTGCCATGCAGGAAAATTACAACCAAAGCACCCCTCACAGATGGTCATCCAGCCTTTGATTAAAAGCTTCCAAGGAAGCAGCGTCCTCTAAGAGGCAGAAAGTTCCTCTGTTGAACAGCTCTCATGGTCAGGAAGTTCTTCCTAATGTTCAGGTGGAATCTCCTTTCCTATAATTAGAACCCATTGCTCCAAGTCTTATCCTCCAGGGCAGCAGAAAACACTTCACTTCACTTCACTTTATTTCTTAATTAGTTGCTCTCCACCAAGGTGCTCCGAGCGACTTACAATCTAAAATAGCATTTACACAATATAAAAACATTCAACATAAAAACATTCAACAGTGACTATTTGGCAAATTAGATCTGATTACTTAAATGCATAACCAAACAGCCAAGTTTTGAGTGCCTTTACAAAAAGTCGCAACTTCGACATTGCTCTAATGCAGAGGTCCACAAACTTTTTAAGCAGAGGGCCAGGTCACAGTCCCTCAAACTGTTGGAGGGCCGGATTATAATTTGAAAAATAAAACACGAATTCCTGTGCATGCTGCACATATCTTATTTGTAGTGTAAAAAGCACTAAAAAACAATAAACTAATTAAAATGAGGAACAATGTTAACAAATATAAACTTATTAGTATTTCAATTGGAAATGTGGGCCTGCTTTTGGCTGATGAGATAGGATTGTTGTTGTTGTTATGTGTTTTTAAACCATTTCAGACTTAGGTTGACCCTGAGCGAGGGCCGGGTAAATGACCTTGGAGGGCCGCACCCGGCCCCCGGGCCTTAGTTTGAGGACCCCTGCTCTAATGTATGGAGGCAATGAGTTCCACAGAATTGGAGCATAGGTCGAAAAAACTCTACACCTTGTAGCTTCCAGGTGTACCTCCCTAGGGCCCAGTATGTATAGGAGATTTTCCTGGGTGGATCGAGGTGACCACTGATGGAGAAAAGGAATGAGGTGGTCCCTAAGATATAAAGGTCCTTGGCCATTTTGAGCTCTAAATGTTAGGATCAGTATCTTGTAAGAGATCCAATGTTCTATTGGTAGTCAATGTAGTTGTTGCATAATCGGTGTAATATGGGATCTTAGAGATGATCCCGCTAGCAGCCTGGCCGCCTCATTTTGGACCATCCGAATTTTCTGGGTTGTTGACTTGGGAAGGCCGGCATATAAGGCATTGCAATAGTCCAACCTGGTGGTGACTGTTGCGTGGATTACTGTTGCCAATGCTTCTACCGAAAGGTAGGATGCCAATTTGCTTGCCTGGCGAAGATGAAAAAAGGCTTCGTACTTATGGCAGTGATCTGAGCCTCCATCGTCAGCGGTGAGTCCAACACAACCCCAAGGCTTTTAACAGTGGCAGACGGAACCAGAGCTTCCCCATCGAAATCAGGCAGAGACTGGATTAATTCTGGCGGCTGGCCGGGCCAGAGTATCTCAGTTTTAGTGGGATTCACTTTTAGTCTGTTCACTCGCAGCCAACTCATCACTGCTTCCAAACACAGCCTAAAGTTCTCAGGAATCGCGGTTGTCCCAGGTTCGAGATGCAAGAATAGCTGGGTATCATCTGCATACTGGTAGCACTCTATGCCAAAGCTCCGCACCAGTCCAGCAAGTGGCTGGACATAGATATTAAATAACAGGGGCGAGAGGATAGCACCCTGGGGAACTCCACAGCAAAGGCAGGAGCTCTCAGAGCTTTGGCCTAACCACTCCACCCTCTGTCTCCGGTCCCGGAGGAACGAATTGTACCATTTCAGGGCTAAACCTCGTACACCAGACATAGTGTACACCAGACAATCGATGAATCAGCAAGCCATGGTCCACAGTGTCGAATGCAGCTGTGAGATCCAAGAGTACCAATAGCACTGATCCGCCTTGGTCTAACTGACAACGAATTTCGTCAGTAATAGCTACCAAGACAGTCTCTGTCCCATGACCTGAACGAAAGCCTGATTGAAAGGGGTCCAAACCCGCAGTCTCATCTAAGAATTGCTGTAGCTGTCCCGCCACTGTTTGTTCAATCACCTTGCCCAAAAATGGAAGGTTTGAAACTGGGCGATAGTTACTACGTATGGCGGCGTCTAAGCTTGGTTTTTTCAAGAGAGGGTGGACCACTGCTTCTTTAAGGCAATCTGGAAAAATTCCTTGCTCCAAGGAACTGTTGATGATGCTCCTTAAGGGATCTCGTAGTCCCTCCCAGCACTCCTTAACCAACTGGGAGGGGTAAGGATCGAGGGAGCAGGTGGTTGGTCTTGCTGCAGCTAGAGTCCAGGTCTTCCATTTCTAATGGCACAAAATGTTTTAGAAGTTGGCCACTAGATGGCCAGAGGGCCTCTAGTTCCCTTGATGTGTCCTCTATGGGAGGTAGCTCTTCCGGAGCAGATTGATCTTAAAGTCAACAAGCCTGCTCTCTCTTTTATTGTTTTATGCAATAATAAGACCTTGAAAAAGTTTCTTGTTTGGGATTCAGCTCCTCAAATCTTCTGACCAGCATGACCAGGAAACAAAATAATCAAGCAAAATTGATATTTGAAGCTGTGAGCTATTTTGATGTTGCTTGGTCAGAAAGACTAGGTTGGCTGTAATAAATGTATTAATACCAATAATAAATAGAGACCAATAATAAATGTAATAAAAATAATAAAACCAGTAAAATAATGTAAATGTAATAATAATAGTAGTAATAATAATAATTAAAATAATAAATTTGATAATAATAACAACAGAGTAAAATAATAAATAACTTTGACTCGAGTATAAGCCAAGGGGGGCTTTTTCAGCCTAAAAAAGGGCTGAAAACCCGGCTTGTATTTGAGTATATACAATAATTGTTGAATGCAGCTGTCATTAATTCTACTTCTCCTATCCTCCTTGTGGCTGTGGTGGTAGTTATTTATGTTCTTTTCCCCCAAAGCGTCACCTGAAGGTACTGGAACTTTCCGTGAAAAGCCAATTGAGCAATGCTTAAAGAACGATGAGTTTGAGTTGGCATATTTGCTGCTGAGTGCCGGTGCAGATCCTCGGTGTCTATCTTTTGTGGAAGGCGATACTCCTTTACATGTTGCTCTATCAGTTGTTTTAGATAAAAAAGGTGAGCATTTGAGTTGGGTGGGTTTTCTTCCTGCTTTCCCCCCATTGAAGTGTTATCAAGTTTATTTGCTTGAACTTCCACAACCATCACTGACAGCTACCGTAATCCTCGATTGTGCTCATCCATTTAAGTTAACTTTGTGTAATGTATAATGTCTCAGAAAGGGGAGGAGGAACCTCACTAGCATCATGACAGAAAAACATCCCAGGTTCCATCTCCAGTCTGTAAAAAAAATGACAGGCAACAGAGCTAATAGAAACCCATTCTTAAAACTCGGGGGGAGCTTCTATCTAAACATGACTGGAATGCATAAACAATCGACCAGTGAGTACAAGGCGCGCACACACACACACACACACACACACACACACATATATATATATATATAGGTTTGATATTTCAAAGAATTAAGCATAGGTAATCACATTTTCTCTTGCCTCTTGGCCTTTTTTATAAAAATCTCATTTCGAATGGTCTAATGAGTTTATATAACAGAGCTGAGAAGTTTCTTTAATGCTTATTAAGAATAAATTAACCATGGTGTTACATAAACAATTAAAATACTTTAATGCTTAAATTACCCTCTCTGGTGTGAGCTTAAAGAGATCATATCTTGATAGCTTGCTGGGACTTTTTCAGGCTGTATGGCCCAGTAGCATTCTCTTCTGACATTTCACATGCATCTGTGGCTCCCAACTTCAGAGCTATATATCTGTGGAATGTCCAGGGTGGGAAAAAGAACTTGTGTTTGGTTAAAGCCAGTGTAAATATTGCAGTTAGCAAGCTTGAATAGCATTGAGTAGCCATGAAGATGCAAAGTCAATCACTGAAGGTATCTACATAGAGGTAGCCTGGCCCCTATTGCCTCTTTCGCCCTCAATTAGTGCCTCTTCAAATTCTGCAGCACTGCTGGTCACAGCTGACCTCCAGCTGGAGCGCTCACAGGCCAGGGCTTTCCAGTTCTCAGTGTCTATGCCAGAGTTTTTAAGGTTGGCTTTGAGCCCATCTTTAAATCTCTTTTGCTGCCCACCAACATTCTGTTTTCCATTCTTGAGTTCAGAGTAGAGCAACTGCTTTGGGAGACGGTGGTCGAGCATCTGGACAACGTGGCCGGTCCAGCGGAGTTGATGGCGGAGGACCATCACTTCAATGCTGGTGGTCTTTGCTTCTTCCAGCATGCTGACATTTGTCCGCCTGTCTTCCCAAGAGATTTACAGGATTTTCCGGAGGCAGCGCTGATGGAATCGTTCTAGGAGTTGCATGTGACATCTGTAGACAGTCCACGTCCACGTCTCGCAGGCGTATAGCAGGATTAGGAGGACAGTAGCTTTATAAACAAGCACCTTGGTATCCCTACGGATGTCCCGGTCCTCATACACTCTGTGCTTCATACACACACGCACACTCCACTTGCTTTGCAGAACCTCTGAATATGCCAGCCACATACACACAAAACATTAGGAGAGAATACTGCTATAACACAATAGAGGATCACAGCTTAATTGAGTTGGAATTGATGTTTTTATATGTGCATGTGTTTTATTTTATTGTATTTTATATTGTGTCGAATTTTATGGGGTTTTTTTAGGCACTTTGTGCCATCTGTAACCCGCCCCAAGTCCCTTTGGGGAGATGGTGGTGGGATATAAGAATAAAGTTGTTGTTGTTGTTGTTGTTGTTGTTACATGGCCGTACAGCCCGAAAAACTCACAGCAACTCAGTGATTCCAGCCATTCCAACCTTTGACAACACTTACCTGGATATATTTTGTGTGTTTTCCTCCAGATCCTGTTGGTTTTCGTTTTCTGAGTTACCTTCTGGAATTATACAGCTCAGATCCCTCTGCTTTTCCACAACTCAACCCCAACTGTCAAGACAAGAATGGAAACACTGTGATGCACATTCTTTTTCAGAGGCACCTGACAAAGCAGGTTAAGAATATGTTGGTTTTACTGTCAAAGTTTGAGATCAATCTCAATATAAGAAACAAAGCAGGAAAAGATGTGTGCCACAGAAAAAAGAAGAATGACCCAATGCTTAGAGCTTGGAATGAAGCCCTGAGTGAGAATAAGAAAAAACCCCGGCATGATGTAGGGGGGCAGCAGCCCAAAGATCCAAAATTTACTTCAGCTTCTGACAACTCACAGACTAAAAGTTTAGCCGATTCTTCATCTCTGTGTTCATCCAAAGTGTCAGCTAAAAGCCAGATGTTAAACGAGGAATCAGACATAGGGAGTGTTTCCCACGATCAGCAAGTAACAGAAAGTGCTGCAGCAAAAAACTCAACATGTGTGGCTGTTAATACGCCTCTGACTCTGAAGGAATGTCTTGTGCAAGAAATTATGCAATTAATTCAGAAACTAAAATTGCAGGAAGTCTCTGCAAAAATTAATTCATCTGCACCTGAAGTGCAAAAGTCGTCATCTCTTACGGTGAAAAGCAAAGAGGATGACCATCAGCAGATCCATGGCCATGAGGGGTTTTCTTGTGATATTAGGAATGATGTTTGTCTAAACAAAGACACTTCAAATGAGAGAGCTGCTAATGAACTCGAAGAAGACAAAGGAGAAGAGGACTCCTCTTCTGAAGATGATGAACAGATCCAGGATGCAGAAACATGCATCCAAGACATTGATAAAATGACATGGGAAATTGAATGTACACCTGAAATGTTAAAGAAATTGGGAAGTAAACATATGCCCCATGATAAGAGAAATAAGGCCATACGTGTAATCCAGCAGCTGGGAAATGGCGACTGGACCAAGGGTAATAAAAAACTGCTGAAACAGGTGAAAGGGAGTATTCGCCTTTATGAAGCAAAGCTGGGCAAAGGAGCAAGAATGCTTTGGGAACGTGCAATAGACTTTTCTCCTCGTTGCAGTGAGACTGCAGAAAAGATCATAGAGAGTAAGGATTTGGCTCATCCAACTGGGAGAGTTTACACAGAAATCATTCGAATATGGGACATTGTTCTAGATCATGACAAACTTCGTAGAGCCATTGAATATGCTGTTGAACATATCTGTGCTGCATACAACCGTGGACATGCTTGCATATTGAGGAAAACCCTCAAAGTTATGAACACAACTTCGCTTTCTTTAAACAAAAAAGACCAAAAGCGCATTCCTCGTATTTATGTTGAAGACATCAAAGCAGACAAACCAAAAGATCATGAATACTTTCCCCCAGCAAGTACAGCAGAAACGGAATATAGTATAATGAAATTTCACAGTTTCAGTACTAACATGGCACATAACATCCTCAATGATATGACTTCTGCTGTTGAATACCCCTTCAGAGTGGGAGAATTGGAATATGCTATCATTGACTTGAAGCCCAACCCTTTGGAGCCCATAATCTTAATTGGGCGAAGTGGAACAGGAAAGACCACTTGTTGCTTATATAGGCTTTGGAAAAAATTTCACTCTTACTGGGAGCAAGCAGAGTTGGCACAGGATCCCCTGTTGGTTAGGCAAATGCGGCAGAGACAAAAATGTAATTCTCATCTGGAAAACAAGGGCTGCAAGGAGGAAGTCCTTAATGACAAACAAGATGCCTGTTATTCCAGTGATTCAGCTGAATTGGAAGTATCTGCAAGTATGGACAGTGAACAAGATGAAAATGACCAGAGTTCTTCAGGTTTAGGAGACTCAGAAATCAATTCACTATGTGATTGTGATGAGGATGAGGAGCATGTTGCAGACAAACTGGAGCATTTGCATCAGATTTTTGTTACTAAAAATCATGTTTTGTGTCGAGAAGTTCAGAAGAATTTTATTGAGCTTAGCAAGTCTTCGAAGGCAACCAGCCATTATAGGCCACTTGAACCAAATGTTTACAAACTTCAGGATGTTAAAGATGAAAATTTTCCTCTCTTCCTCACATCCAGACAGTTTTTACTCCTACTCGATGCCTCGATGTCTGACCCATTTTTCCTTAGGAATGAAGATGGAAGTCTTAAGCATAGCATTGATGGGTGGTCAACAACAGAAGATGGAATTGCCTCAAATTGGCAAGAGGAAGATGATGATGTTGATATTGAAGTAGATTATGATGAAGATGAGGACCCTGCTGAAGTTCATACAAGACCATGTGATCCTAGAATCTTTGTGACCTTCAGTGTATTTGCTCATGAGATCTGGCCCAAAATGGCAAAAGGCAAGCATCCCTACAATCCAGCATTGGTTTGGAAAGAAATAAAATCTTTTTTGAAGGGGTCTTTTGAGGCATTGAGCAGCCCACGAGGCATACTTACTGAAGAAGAGTACAAAAAACTTGGTCGAAAGAGATGCCCAGACTTTAAAGAAGACCGTAGTGAAATTTACAAACTGTTCTGTCTTTACCAGCGAATAAGATCACAAGGGAATTATTTTGATGAGGAAGATGTCTTGTACAAATTGTCTCAAAGGCTCTCTGCATTTAGAGTTCTGCCATGGTGCATCCATGAACTTTATGGGGATGAAATTCAGGATTTTACTCAAGGAGAGCTAGCATTGCTAATGAAATGCATTGATGATCCTAACGCAATGTTCCTGACAGGTGACACCGCACAGAGCATCATGAAAGGAGTCGCATTTCGTTTCAGCGACTTGACATCGCTTTTCCATTATGCCAGTGTAACCTCTAATGACAAGAAACAATGTATTGTTAGAAAACCAAAAAGGATATACCAACTTCACCAGAACTACAGATCTCATTCAGGTATCAAAACCTTTTATGTTAGGAAGGGGGTTGTATTGGGGATATAAATATATCATCGTCATTGCGCTTTTTAAACCCAAAAGCGTTGCTCTGTTTCCCTGTCACTCTACACTTTATCAGTGTGGATCGGGGGTAGGTGATGTTACTACTTCTATAGCCTTGGAACTGCTCCTTGATACAGTCTTGAGATATTTACTGCATATTGGAAGCTGAGAATCAATTTCACCAAATTACAGTATATACTTGAGTATAAGCCGACTTGAATATAGGCTGAGGCACCTAATTTTACCACAAAAAACTGGGAAAACTTACTGCCTCTAGTATAAGCCTAGGCTGTAGTAGCTACTGGTAAATTTCAAAACACAAATAGAAACCATAAAAATTACATTAATTTGAGACATGCAGCTTCTTTTCTCCTCTCGGCACAGCAACCCAGCTGGGTTGCTGTACTGAGAGGAAAGGCCGCATGCCTACCTCTCATCTCTTGGCACAGAGATCAGCTGGTTCGCTGTGTTGAGAGGGAAGAAGATGAATACATGTAGCTTCTCTTGGCACAGCAACTCAGGAGAGACCCGGCCCTGCCCAACAGGAAGGTGTGTGACCAATGAGCCATGCACTTTCCTCTCCTCCCCTCCCAGCACAACAACCCAGCTGGGTTGCTGTGCCGAGAGGAGAGGCCGCACACCTTACTCTCCTCCTCTCTCGACACAGACCCAGCAAGGTTGCTGTGCCAAAAGGAAAGGAGGCACGCAGTTGGTAGAAGACCTGCAAAGGGCTTCTTTCATCCCTAAGCTTTCCCGCCAGGGCCCTCACTCAAGTGAAAACCGAGGGGACCTTTTTCAGCATAAAATGTGTGGAAAAACTACACTTATATTCAAGTATATATGGTAGTCCAATGAAGCCATGCTGATCTGGAAGATCCAGATCAGTACTGTTCCTGCCATTAAACTTTTTAAGTACCAGCAATCAGTAGTCTTCTCTTTCTAGCATTAATACGTTTGTGGGTGGGACCATGATACAGCCACAGTCATTATTTTTTAGGCAAATAAACTTGACCAATCAAGTCTCCTCATTGTATTGTTGAAGGTTTTCATGGCCTGGGTGTTGTGTGGTCTCTGGGCTGTAAAGTGTCCTAGTTAACAGAACCAATTGTGAGGGCTCGTGGGCAATGTAGTCTAATAATAATAGGGGAATCAGACCCATCCCCCCTCCTTTTTTCTTTTTTTTTTATAGAGATTTAGTAGAATTCATCTGTTTAAATTATTATACCTGTGATAATGCATTCAGTTCATTTATGTACAGTATGGCTCCTGTACCTGCAAGGGATGCGATTCAGACCTTGCACGAATATGCAAAACCATGAACAATAGCAAAACCCTTTTAGAATGAAGAATCCAACTATATTAGAGGACCTAAGACCTGTGTTAGAGGACCTAGAAAATGTCTAGAGAGGACCTATGTTGTTAGATGTGGATAAATGAAATGGCAAGAACTGCGGATAAGGGGTTGTACGGTAATCAGATATTTGACAAGAAATCCTCCTGCCTCCACGTTCTGCAATTTAATGAAGCTGTTTGTAGGCACTAAACCGCTTTCTGCCCTAGCTGCAGTTTTCAAACTACTATTTACTGACTTGACTATATTAATATTTTTCTGTTGAGTTCATTTTCTGTTTCCATGTGTTTGAGACATTGGTTGTGCCAAGTTTCATCTGCTTCTCTTTATTTGCAGGGATCCTCCTCTTAGCCTCAGGAGTTGTTGATTTACTTCAGTACTATTTCCCAGAATCTTTTGATAGTCTCCCTAGAGATTCAGGCCTTTTTGATGGCCCTAAACCCACTGTATTGGAATCTTGCAGTGTTAGTGATCTAGCAATCCTACTGAGAGGCAATAAAAGGAAAACACAACCAATTGAATTTGGAGCACATCAGGTAACTATTCTTTGCTGTGTGATGATTTATAGATGGTTTCTGCTAAGCAAATATGCCTTAAAATGTTACTGTTTTATGAGTATCTCTGTGATATAATTATTTTCTAAATGAACTGAAATTTTGAGTACTCGAATTCGACTTCAGATACTTCCCCCTTCCTAAAAAGTCAACCCAGTTTTTTAAGGGTCAATTTTGGATTAAAATTTCGAGACTTACACATGAGTATATACAGTGTTTATCTAGTGTTCTGTTGTTGTTCTGTAGAACTATAGAGTTGAAAGAAACCACAGGGGCCGTCCAATCCAGCCCCCGTCCATGGGGGGTATATGTATGTTTTCTCTTCTCATTGCTTTTGGATAATTTAGACCAATGGTTCCCAAACTTTTTTTGACCAGGGACCTCTCTCTAACATTAGTACCAAAAGGGTTACAAATCAGTTTTTGGTCAACTTTAGATTTAGATTAGTTATTTGGGGTGCTGATTCATAAAATTCTATTGGATAGACCACAGCAGCTCTAGTTTCTGATACAAAGATATGCCATTCAGTAGCCACCATCTGCTTGCCCACAGAAACTCATATTTAATAATCCTCGGCACTAGAAGAGGGTTTCACGAGACCAGTTGCTCTTATTGTGACACTGGTGATCCATGGACCACAGGTTGGGAACCAAAAATGTAGAAATTCCTGCTAACTCAATTATGGTTGTTAAACCAAACACATAATAAGGAGCCTTCAACTCTTAAATATGGGTGAAGTCAATAAAAACCATTCCTGGACAACTACTGTAATCTGAAAACTCAAAAGAATTTAACCTTTCATTGGTAGTTGTCATAATCATTGATCATCATTCATTCAGTTGGATCCAGCTTTAGGACACTCACCCACTTAAAATACCCCAGTGTTGATTTTAATTACTTTCTCTTCTGGTGGAATTGTTCCTTGCTTGCTTAAAGGAAGTTTGCCTCTGTTTCTTGACTGATATTCACTGAAGTTACAAATCTCGTTTTCTCTAATTTGTTGTAGGTGATACTAGTAGCAAATGAAACCGCAAAAGAAAAGATTCCTGAGGAGCTCAGTTTGGGTCTTGTGCTAACAATTTATGAAGCAAAGGGGTTGGAATTTGATGATGTACTCCTTTACAACTTTTTCACAGATTCAGAGGTATGTAAAATGCTTAGAAAGTTCTTGGGAAATAGTTGGTTGTTCCTCACCCAGCAGAAATGAAAAGCTCAAGCAATTAGGCAGGTTTCCTTTAGTCTTGTGACATCATTTTGTTTGATTTTTATCATCCATGCTTGCTTGTATTGAAAAAGTATTGCGGTTTTAGCACATCTGTGTTTTTAGGTGACGTCTTTGCTTGAATTGGGGCCCCGGTGTGGTGGGGAGACTTTATCTTGGAAAATCTGCTGCTGGTGGTGTTATGCGCCTTCAAGTTGACTTTGATAAATGAATGAGATCATATCATTAACATCCATGCTCAGGCCTTACAGAACTGGGGCTGTGGTTTTCCATCGACTTATAATGTGGTTTTACCCCTTTTCCTACTGCCTTAAAGTTTACCAAGCATTGTCATCTTGGGTTGCTGTGAGTTTTCCAGGCTGTATGGCCATGTAAGCCCAAAAAACTTACAGCAATCCAGTGATTCTGGCCATGAAAGCCTTCGACAACACATTGTCATCTTTTCCAGTCAGTCATGCCATCTCGTGATATGCTTTGTAAAACTGTGTTGAGTAGTCCTGCCAATATGTAACTTTCTGTATTTTTTCACATTCTTAGGCTCACAAAGAATGGAAAATAATTTCTTCTTTCAAACCTTCCTTTTCCTTATCCAAAGAAACCAGGGTGGTCATTGAAACCCCCATTGAGAAAGATGATGACACTCCAAGAAAACATCTCCTGTTCAATCCAGATATGTACAAGGTGAATTTTAGAAGTTGTCATCCTGCCTTAGTGTTTCTTTTATGTCCAGATCAATTTATGGGTTAGAAGCAGAGTCTGTTCTTGCAACAGCTAGTTGCTGTTTTAGACATTATCTAAAAAACTGAAAGAATTTTGATTTGTAGTTCAAGAGTCTTCTGTAGGATAGAAGTGTGAACAGGAGAACAAAGTCCTTGAAGAAGATGGTGAGTGCAGAAACATATGCAAATGTAGATCTTGGTATTCAGAAATATTTTGCTTTGCTCCATCTCATTAGAAGTTGATGTTTGACCTTCAAAATTAAAAATTGTGTTGTAGATGTGTAGACCAAACAAAGAGAATTGATACATTGGAATCATTGGGATGGTGTGTGGAAGGAATCTGGTGACGCTATCTGAGAAGGTTGAGATTAGTAGAATTATAGAATGAAAGAGTTGGAAGAGACCTTTTGGGCCATCCAGTCCAACCCCCTGCCAAGAAGCAGGAAAATCGCATTGAAAGCACCCCTGACAGATCACCATCGAACCTCTGTTTAAAAGCCTCCAAAGAAGGAACCTCCACCACACTCCAGGGCAGAGAGTTCCACTACTGAACAGCTCTCATAGTTAGGAAGTTCTTCCTCATGTTCAGGTGGAATCTCCTTTCCTGTAGTTTGAAGCCATTGTTCCGGGTCCTAGTCTCCAGGGCAACAGAAAACAAGCTTGCTTCCTCCTCCATATGACTTCCCCTCACATATTTATACATAGCCATCATGTGTCCTCTCAGCCTTCTCTTCTGCAGGCTAAACATGCCTAAACCGTTCCTCATAGGGCTTGTTCTCCAGACCCTTGGAGTGTATTGAGAAATCTTGGCAGAAGTCAGAGAGGATGAGGAAGGGAAATTAAACGATTCACCATGAGTTCACATGTATTTAATTGTAGTATTGGATCTTTGTCGTAGTTTCCTTTCTATATCATACATCTTGAATTGTTCCTAGATGCTTAATGGTGAGCTAAAGCTGTTATATACTGCTATCACAAGAGCCAGGGTCAATCTGTGGATCTTTGATGAAAACAGAGATCGGCGTGCACCTGCATTTCAGTATTTCATCAAGCAAGAATTTGTTCAAGTTGTCAAAACGGAAGAAAATGAAGGTAAAGCCTATATATCATCCTTTTATAAAATGTTGTTCATTATTCAGATCCTGAGTGACTCTTTGAGTTTTGCATGAAACATAGAAGGGCTGAAGAAAGAAGCAAACTTGGATAATTTATAGTTAAAATTACAGGATTTTCACTGCCTACATTTAAGGAAATACCTGTTGACCTGAGTAAAGTCAAACTACTTTAAGGATCGGCATGTAATATTTTTCTGATTCCTTTTTACTTTGGTAACTAATCTGTGACTAAATGCATTATTGAGGAAATTAAATCTTTTAGTTCATTATTGAGTTAAGGTAGTTCAGACATGGAGACTAATAGATTTACATCCCTGAACTGCTGTTGACTTTGCTAAAAAGCTATTTTTGAAGTAGGAGTTGGAATTAGGAAAGCAAGCTTATGTTCCCCTCCCACAATCACTTGCTTTAAATCTGCTCAGACAACCAACAATATTTGCATTCACTTTTTCTGGTCTCTAGCTTACAATTTGTCATCAAGCAGAATACTTTGGGAAGATTTACAATCAAAATTAGTGAATGCAAAAAAAAAAAAAACGCTGAATATTAAATGCAGCTCCTTGAATTCACCACCTACAGAGAATAGCAGCTATGATTAGTTAGCACAATAGCAGAAATTTGCTTATGCAAGGGAAAAGAAAATAGGAAATATTTAGTTCCATATTAGTTGTTTCTACTTATCTTTATAGGCCACTTTGGAAACTATGTACAAGATAAGTTGTTTCTACTTATCTTTATAGGCCACTTTGGAAAGTATGTACAAGCTAGAATAGTAGATATTAGTACTACTAAAACTTTGCAATATGTAACGCATTGAGACTTGGCATTTGGCCAGAATGAAATCGGTATCTATCAGAATTCATTTTAGAGAAAGCATTTGGAGTTTAATATATACAGAAAAGAACTGATCACATTTCTGCATTTTTATTTTAACATTCCTGTTGAATACATTCAGAGAAGATATATCCCCCAAAAGGAATGTGTACATATCTCAGTAATCCAAACTGAAAAAGATGTTCTAAAGGAAATACATGAGATGACCTTAAACTTGATGTCTGAGAGTGAGGCTAATGTTGTCCTTGTTGGACAACTGATTTGGAATAATTAAATAGTCTCAATTAGGTTTGAGATGTGATTACAAAATTTTAAATCAAAAACATTTAATGCATATATTCAGTATAATGTTAAGCAGTAGGCTTGTGCATTTTGGCTGAACTTCAGTCCGTTTCTGCTGGCTGGAATCTGGCAAACTCCTGTATCCATTTTTGTGTGCCTCCTGAAAATGGGCAGGTCGCTGGATAGCTTTTTTGGTCATCACCCAAAATATATGGCTGGATCTGGCCTATTGGCGGTAATGGGGGACTTACAAGGCTCCCTTTTTCGTTCCTGGGACCCTTTCAGCAACTGGGTTAAGGAAGCACCCTATCTGGCCCATTATTGGGGGGCAGGGACTTCCCAGGCTCCCCTTCCCATCATTTTAGGCATTGTTTGTCATTATATCCTTCATTAAGATCTGGATTAAAAGCATCAGAGTTAAGATATCCAAGGCATTTTAAGGAGGCTTCCCACTTTCCAGGGAAGAAAGAGCATTCGACCTGGAGCTATACCCATTAAAAAACCCTCTCTTTTCTCTTGATTCGCATTGAAGGCCCTGCCTTTTTCTCCTCACACCTTCCTGCTTTGGGTTTAATGCTTCCTTAAAGCTGTTTCTACTTTCTCCTCTAGAGGAGAGGTAACTAGGTGGTAGTAGTTTTCTGAGAATGGGGCTTTTCTTTTTGTTTGCTGGGATTACTATTATTGTTGTTGTTAAGAAAAAATATTTTGTGAAGGAGAGGGAGGGGAGAAAAAAAAGAAGCTAAAAGGGTTTCTCCAAGCCACGAAAAGCACGCACACACCCCACCTATCCCGCATGTTCCCAATTCCCAGTCAGTCCCACTAAAGAAAAAGAATCAAGAAAATAAAGGAAAATCAAAAAGATTCAAGAGAGTGGCCAAGCCAGAAGCAAAAAAACAAACAAACAAACACTGAAGTCAGGACGCAGCTGTGATGCTGAATAGGGGAGGAGAAGCCATGATCAGCTGCCACGTGGTCTCATTATGGACAGAAAACCGTGACGGCTGGACCCTTGCCGTTACGGCCTCTGGGCCAAGCCAAAGAAGCCAGATTGGTCAAAGGAAAATGGCTAAAACGAATCCGTACACAAGCCTGTCAAACAGTTGTTTTTTGTGATCTGTTTATCAAAGAAACAGTTTGTGAAGAATGTGTATAACAAATTACAGTTCATCCTCTTTTTCCTAGCCTTTGATGACACTATGTTTGTTAAAGCATCAACTCCGGAAGAATGGGTGGCACAAGGAGAATATTATGCTAAACACCAGTGTTGGAAGGTAAATTCTGAACAATTTGGTTGTTTTGCCTGTACACATTGGGGAGAAACAAGTTTTCTTTACTATAACGAAAGTCTGTATCTGATGCAAGGTGCTAGTTTAAATCATGAAAAGTTTATATTCATAAAAGTAATTATAAATTGATTTTTTCCACGTAAATGTAGATGGAATGCAGCCAGACGTGAGCCTCTTGCTTAGCAATACGTGCTATGCTCTGATGATGTTCACTGCATGTAAAATAGTTTTTTCCCCTCTTTCCTCTGTCATACTAAACTTTGCAGCTGTGGCTATACATTGCATATATTTCATTGATAATGAACAACCATTCGATCAGTGTTTCTGGGACAGATTTCATAAGCACATTAGAAAAGCACAAGCGTTGCTCATTGCATTGTTTACAGCAGTTACATTGATACCACTTGACCAGTCCGCCTTCACCATCCCATCATTGTCAGTCCTGATACCAAAACCTTGCAGCTAGAAAGAAGACAAGGGGGGCTGAGGACATTAAAAAGACTTTAAAAGGGAGCTTCTTTGTCCCAAGCTTTGTAAATTGAAAGATGCCTTATATGGACCTGGGGTTGAGTCCAGAGATGCCTTTCTGCATTTGAACTCATGGGAAAATATACCTTTTTATTCCAGGGGAGGGGGAACCAGAATTTGTTATTACTTTATTCGGTTTTTGAGACACTATTTCAAGTGGCCCCTGGTAGCATAGTGAGTTAAATTTCTGAGCTGCTGACCTAAAGGTTGACGGTTCGAATCCGGGGAGCGGGCTGAGCTCCCACTGTTAGGCCCAGCTTCTGCCAGCCTAGTAATTCGAAAACATGCAAGTGTGAGTAGATCAAGAGATACCACTTCTGCGGGAATGTAATGGCGCTTCATGCAGTCATTCCGGCCACATGACCTTGGAGGTGTCTACGGACAACGCCGGCTTTTCAGCTTAGAAATGGAGATGAGCACCACTCCCCAGAGTCAGACACAACTAGACTTAATGTCAGGGGAAACCTTCACCTTTATTTTACTAGACACTATTTTGCTTGTTTCACCTAATACAATGGAAAGTTTGAGTTATCACTTGTTCAAGATTTTTTGGAATGACACTAGTTATTATTTTCCTTCTATTTACTGTTGTTTTGGATCCAGCTCTCATGGTCCCATCTGCATTGTTTGCTAACTCAAGTTTAGAGCTTGAGTCAAAAAGGCTCTAAATGCCTCGCGTTCTGAGCAGTTCAGTCTCTCTTCTCCTTGCTCTGCTTGATCTGCAGAGCAGAAAGACATGTCTCACGAGCATCCATAACTTACTGAGGTTGAAGGGGAACCTACCTTTTCTGGGAAATCTAAATCCCACCTGTTGGACAAAATCACGTCCCCTTTGCCATGGTGCTGGGTTGCAAGTCAATCTTGCGGAAGACAACAGGCAGTTTGCAAAAGTTTTAAAAATTTCCAAGATGGTCCTGTGGATAGAGAGAATTCCCATTCCTATTAACATTAGAATTTAATATTATGTTGGGCTATAATAAATAATGTATTTTGGGGAGGAAATGTATGATTAATATAGAATTCATTTTCATAGCCAGTTACTGAAATTGCTTTAAAAGGGTGTTGGGTAGATTCAGGGAGGACAAGTGTGAAAAGCCTGAAAAGCGAGTTTGTTGGACTACAAATCCCAGGATCCTCCAGATATTGTGGCCAATGTTTTACTAACTATTTCCTAAATGGAACAGTAAGGGAGAGGAATTTCCCCTTTTCCAGACCTGGGAGCAGGAGGGACTTTCTCATTTGATGGATTCTTTTACAATCCCAGAAAAGAGATTTGCTGATATAAGTGCTACCTGAGTTGAGGAATTGCAAATCTTTCAGCCCATCTCTCAAGTTAAAAAATAAATAAAACTAGAAACTCAAACCTATTAACCCCTTGGATATAGTAAACACACAAAGGGTTGAGAATGTAACTTGAAACTTAGATAAGGAGATTTGTTAGAGAAACACATATTTACCCACTTGATGCCAAATGTTTCTAAGGAAACCAAGACTGAGAAACTTATTAACAATAGTAAGACTGCTTATAGCGAGGAATTGGAAAAGAGAAATAGATATACAAATAGAGGAGTGGTACAAGGAAGTATGGAAATTGGCAATAAATGATAAGGTGACATGTAAAAGAGAAATAAATATACAAATAGAGGAGTGATATAAAGAAGTATGGAAATTGGCAATAAATGATAAGGTGGCATGTAAATTAAATGTTAAAAGAGGGATATGGAAACAAAGTGATTTTGATGATGTATGGAGAAAATTTATTGAAAAAGGATTTAAAACAAAGATCAAAAGTTACCTCCACAAGAGAAATTGAAATTTTGGACTGATGATATATAAAAGCTGTGATTCGGGGGGAGGGGAGCATGGTAGTGAGGACTGGAAAATATGTATAAGCATAAAAATAACAGTAGATGCCAAAAGTTAATGTACAGTAGGTTGTATTATATTATGTGCCTGCTGTAAAACAAATGATGTATAACAAATGTGTTGAGTTATGATAAAATAAATTAAAAATGAAGAGTAACAAAAAAAGAAGTAAGGAAACCCAGGCTGAGAAATTATATTTGGCAGTTGAACCAGGAGGATGCCCCCTGCCTCAACGTCCCTGCCCGGTAAGTCAGGCAGGGCATTTTTCCAGTACTTTACAAACCTTTTGGGTCATTAGGGATCCTAGGTTCTGTCTTTTTGGTGAACTGCTAACTACTCCCATGTTCTAAGGAGCATACTCAGCTGCATCAAAATATAGGGATTTTTCACACATTTATGCTCTGTTTGTAGGCATCCTACATAATTCTTGATGACTTTGTGAAACAAAGTGTTAGACTAGCTAGATGGACCTTTTGTGTTGAGAAAGACAACTTGGTTCACTCCAGATACATTGAATTTCAACTGCTGTAGATCTTGACCATTGATTATGTTGACTGGGACTTATGGGCGTTGCAAACCTGGAGGATATTGGCTTATCTACTATGGTTCTGCATGATCCAAGGAGGCTTCTTGTACAAATGGATCAAGTATTTCCTGCAGAAACTTGCAAGTCAAGCTGTTGTTGAAAACACAAAAACAGGAAGCAATGGTAACAAAATCCAGCAACGCTACTTGTTCAGTGGCCCACCATTCTAATCACAATGTCATACTTCTGCTGTGTTGATTATATACTTCAGCTCCAGCATCTTATGTAGGTATGATTATTGTTCTTTCAGGTGGCTGCTAAATGCTATCAAAAGGGAGGAGCAATTGAAAAGGAGAAACTGGCCTTGGCAAATGATGCTGTGCTTAATGTTCAATCAAAGAAAATCAGCCCCAAGTAAGTGGTTTCTAGATGTTTAAAAAGGTACATTTCTAGAAAGTTTGAGAAATATATGTTTAATCAGGCCGTGGTAGTAAACTAATTATGTGTGAGTATATGCAGGTTTAGTCAGACGTACCTATATCTGTGTTTTCTCCATTTTACTGATAGGACAGATAATAATAATAATAATAATAATAATAATAATAATAATAATAATATTTTTTACCCACCTCTCCTCACGGGTCGAGGTGGGTTATGACATTGCTAAAACACATAATCATTTAAAAACACTCCATAGAATACATATATTAAGACATATTTCCATGGAATACATATTAAAATACAAAAAACAAAAGTTAGACATATAGTTGAAGTTTAAAATTTGCCATTAAAACTGTTCAGGTAGGCCTGCCAGAAGAGATAGGTCTTCACTTGTGTCTTAAATTCCGACAGCTGATCTAGCAGTCGGAACTCTACTGGCAGGTCATTCCACAGTCATGGGGCGGCCGATGAAATCGTCCTCTGGGTGGTGGTTGCCAGTCAGGTTATGGCAGGCTGGAGCAGACACCCCCCCCCCCCCTTAGAGCACCTCAGTGTTTGGGACGGATTGTATAGAAGTCGATCCTGTAGGTAACCTGGACCCAAACCATGTAGGGCTTTAAGGTCAATACTAACATCACAGATCACAGAGATCAGTATTGAGGGGAGACTGAGTTACCAGCCAAAATCCATGAGCTGGAAACTTCAGACAGAGTGTGTGAACAGCACTGCTGTGTTTGAATCCCCTTTGGGGTCTCAGACTCTTATACTTTCTGTGCTTCTGAAATGTATATGTGATTTTTTAAATGTGATACCCTAAAAATACTTTATACTTTGTGGTTGGGGGGGGGGTGGTTCGTTAGTTTTTATATTGATTATTTTATTCATTGTTTCTATTTGTTATTTGCTGTTTTTGGAATTGAATGTTTGCTATTTTGTTACTTTTGCTGGAGTCCCCTCATGGAAATACGGTAAGTTATAAATAAAATACTTTATTATTATTATTATTTTATTTTCCTGGAAACTAATTGGTAGCCAGTGGAGTGACTTTAGAATCAGTGTAATATGCTCAGCCCTAGATGTTCCTGTAACCAACCTGGCTGCCATATTTTGAACCAGCTGGAGTTTCTGATCTTGGTACAAGGGTTTGTTGCATTCGTTCAGTCGTCTCCGACTCTTCGTGACCTCATGGACCCGCCTACGCCAGAGCTCCCTGTCGGCCGTTACCACCCCCAGCTCCCTCAAGGTCAGTCCAGTCACTTCAAGGATGCCATCCATCCATCTTGCCCTTGGTCGGCCCCTCTTCCTTTTGCCTTCCACTTTCCCCAGCATAATTGTCTTCTCTAGGCTTTCCTGTCTCCTCATGATGTGGCCAAAGTACTTCAACTTTGTCTCTAGTATCTTTCCCTTCAGTGAGCAGTCGGGCTTTATTTCCTGGAGGATGGACTGGTTGGATCTTCTCGCAGTCCAAGGCACTCTCAGAACTTTCCTCCAACACCACAGCTCAAAAGCATCGATCTTCCTTCGCTCAGCCTTCCCTAAGGTCCAGCTCTCACATCCGTAGGTTACTACAGGGATACCATGGCTTTGACTAGGCGGATCTTTGTTGCCAGTCTGATGTCTCTACTCTACTATTTTATCGAGACTGGACATTGCTCTCCTCCCAAGAAGTAAGCGTCTTCTGATTTCCTGGCTACAGTCTGCATCTGCAGTAATCTTTGCACCTAGAAATACAAAGTCTGTCACGGCCTCCACGGTTTCTCCCTCTATTTTCCAGTTGTCAATCATTCTTGTTGCCATAATCTTGGTTTTTTTGACGTTTAGCTGCAACCCGGCTTTTTGCGCTTTCTTCTTTCACCTTGATTAGAAGGCTCCTCAGCTCCTCCTCGCTTTCGGCCATCAGAGTGGTGTCATCTGCATATCTGAGGTTGTTAATGTTTCTTCCAGCAATTTTCACCCCAGCTTTGCATTCATCCAGCCCCGCACATCGCATGATGTGTTCTGCATACAAGTTAAAAAGGTTGGGTGAGAGGATGCAGCCTTGCCGTACGCCTTTCCCAATCTTGAACCAGTCTGTTGTTCCGTGGTCAGTTCTGACTGTTGCTACTTGGTCCTTATACAGATTCCTCAGGAGAGAGACAAGGTGGCTTGGTATGCCCATCCCACCAAGAACTTGCCACAATTTATTATGATCACACAGTCAAAGGCTTTAGAATAGTCAATGAAGCAGAAATAGATGTTTTTCTGAAACTCCCTGCCTTTCTCCATTATCCAGCGGATATTGGCAATCTGGTCTCTCGTTCCTCTGCCTTTTCTAAACCCAGCTTGAACATCTGGCAACTCTCGCTCCATGTATTGCTGGAGTCTTCCTTGCAGGATCCTGAGCATTACCTTACTGGCATGAGAAATAAGGGCCACTGTACGGAAGTTTGAGCAGTCTTTCGCATTTCCCTTTTTTGGTATGGGGATATAAGTTGATTTTTTCCAGTCTGATGGCCATTCTTGTGTTTTCCATATTTGCTGGCAAATGGCATGCATCACCTTGACAGCATCATCTTTTAAGATTTTAAACAGTTCAGCTGGGATCCCGTCATCTCCTGCTGCCTTGTTGTTAGCAATGCTTCTTAAGGCCCATTCAACTTCACTCCTCAGGATGTCTGGTTCTAATTCATTCACCACACCGTCATAACTATCTCAATATTATTATCCTTCCTATACAGATCTTCTGTATAGTCTCGCCACCTTCTCTTGATCTCTTCAGCTTCTGTTAGGTCCCTGCCATCTTTGTTTCTTATCATACCAATTTTTGCCTGAAATTTACCTCCAATGTTTCTAATTTTCTGGAAGAGGTCTCTTGTCCTTCCTATTCTGTTGTCTTCTTCCACTTCCATGCATTGCTTATTTAAAAATAGTTCCTTATCTCTTCTGGCTAACCTCTGGAATTGCGCATTTAACTGGGCATATCTCCCCTTCTCCCTGTTTCCTTTTGCTTTCCTCCTTTCTTGGGCTACTTCCAGTGTCTCAGCAGACAACCATTTTGCCTTCTTGGTTTTCTTTTTCTTTGGAACGTACTTTGTTGCCGCCTCCTGAACAATGTCGCGGACTTCTGTCCATAGTTCTTCTGGGACTCTGTTTACTAAATCTAGTCCTTCAAATCTGTTCTTCACTTCCACTGTATATTCGCTAGGAATGTTAGTGAGATCATATCTAACTGGTCTGTGTATTTTCCCTGATCTCTTTAGTTTTATTCTAAATTTGGCAATAAGAAGTTCGTGATCTGAGCTACAGTCAGCCCCAGGTCTTGTTTTCACCGACTGGATGGATGTCCGCCACCTTTGGCTGCAAAGGATGTAGTCAATCTGATTTCGGTGTTGACCATCTGGTGAGGTCAATGTATAAAGCCGTCTTTTAGGTTGTTGGAAGAGAGTATTCGTTATACACAGCGAGTTTTCCTGGCAAAATTCTATCAGCCTGCGTCCCGCTTCATTTTGTTCTCCCAGACCATGCTTGCCTGTGATCCCAGTTGTCATTTGACTTCCCACCTTGGCATTCCAGTCTCCTGTAATGAAAATAATGTCTCTTTTGGGTGTATTATCCAGTAGGTCCTGCAGATCCTCATAGAACTGATCTACTTCTGCTTCTTCAGCAGCTGTGGTTGGGGCATATATTTGGATCACTGTAATGTTGAAAGGCTTTCCTTGCACTCGAATTGAGATCATTCTGCATTTTTTGGGTTGTATCCAAGCACCGCTTTAGCGAATTTCTTATTAATTATGAAGGCTACTCCATTTCTTCGATGTTCCTCTTGTCCGCAGTAGTAGATCCTGGTGGTCATCTGATGTGAAGTGGCCCATTCCAGTCCACTTCAGTTCGCTGACCCCCAGAATGTCTATCTTTAGTCTTGACATCTCGCCAATAACAACATCCAATTTGCCCTGGCTCATAGATCTTACATTCCAGGTTCCTATGGTGTGTTGATCTTTAGAGCATCGGATTCGTCGTTCACCTCCAGTACCGTCGGCCGCTAGCCTTCCTTTCGGCTTTGAGCTAGCTGCGTCATCAAATCTGGGGCTAGTTGAACTTATCCTCTGCTCCTCCCCAGTAGCATTTTGGCCATCTTCCGACCTGGGAGTCCCATCTTCCAATGGCATACCGACATATCTCTGGTTGTACTGGTCCATTTAGTTTTCTTGGCAAGGATACTGGAGTGGTTTGCCATTGCCTTCCCCAGGGATCACGCGTGGTCTGACCTCTCTGCACAACCGTCCCGTCTTGGGTGGCCCTTCACGGTTTCGCTCATGACATCATTGAGGTGCTCAAGCTCCAGCGCCCCGACAAGGCGGTGATCCTTTGCTGGTACAAGGGTAGCTCAATGTAAAGCGCATTGCAGAAGTCCAACCTTGAAGTTACAAGTGCGTGCACTACCATCTTAGGGTCCTCTAAATATAGGAAGGGGTGCACCTGGCAGATCAACCGAAGCTGATACTAAGCACTCCTGACTGTTGTAGATATTCAGAAAATTATAATATACGTTAAAATAAAGTTTTGCTGGAAGGGACACATCATGTATAGAATTTTTAAAGGATAAAACTTGTTTCTCTTCAAAATAAGCAGGGCAAAAAGGAGCAAAGCAATTCAGTCATTTTCCAGCAGTTCAGTGGCTTATGAAGAGTAGTCATTAGTATATATTCTTTTCTTTTTAAAAGAGGTAATGTTTTCAAATAGCTGTTGGAATCAAATATTTTTGATCGCTCGACTGACTATTTTAAAATCTGTAATTAGGTTGGCATGTGATCTTTTTTTTCCTTGTTAACAGGGAGAAGCAAATGGAATACATGAAACTGGCCAAAACTTACATAGAGTGTGGTGAACCAAATTTGGCTCTCAAATGTCTTTTTCATGCCAAAGATTACCAGCTTTGTGCGCAGCTTTGTGAAAAATTACGAAAGGTAAATATGCTCTTCTACTATTTTCCGGGGGGGGGGGGGGGGGGGGGGGGAGTATAAATTTTACTGGACAGATGTGTCATTGTTTCATCTCTTAGACAATGCCTATAGGAGAGAAAAACTAGTTTAGAACCCCGCCTTATTTTCCTCCGCTGGACTATAAATATCTGTTACAGCAGTTCTTAGAAGTGGGATGATTTAGGAAGGCTCTTTACCCTGCAGTTACTTGGCACAACAATCATTTATTTCATGCTGCCTGCTTTCCACATTTCTTCACTTACAGACAGTCACTTGGCAGATATGGCAGCCTGCTTGATAACCTAAATCCCCAAGTGGTTTGTGTGGAGTAGATGTGAGTAAGATTGATTTAAGTTCAGCCATAGGAAACAAGTGAGAGGTATAGGGTACTGTAGGACTTAGATCTAATCATCATCACATTTGGTGCTGGTTGTGCTACAACATAAATCACAAATGGGAGCATGAGGTTCTTCGGCCATTGCTGAACTACTGAATGCATCCATTCTATTCAACATTGCCAATGCTGGGAGGCTATAGTACTCGCAATCCAGTGACAATTTCCAATCTCTTTTCTTGAATGTATTTTTGCAAATTTTAATCGCTCAACTTTGTTACAGTAGTTCTGAAAAAAAAAATCTGACTCACATGTATACTTTTCATTTTCTTTTCACTGATTATGGAAGTTTGATGACTTTGTACAAATGTGGATGAAACGTCAGAAGGGAATGCTTCTAGAACATGGCCGTACAACTCGGAAAACTCACAGCAACCCAATGTACAAATTGGCTCTGCTGAAATATATTCTGTCTGAACCCGTCCTGCTTCCTCCAATTATTATTATTATTATTATTATTATTATTATTATTATTATTATATTATCATCAAAATATACAATTAATAATTTTTCCAAAAATGCAAATATAAAGTACCAATATCTATGATGGGAAAGTACATGGTATTTAAAAAAGAGACATAAACATATTTTTTACATCCTAATGCAGCTTATACATACCATCATTAAGCATATTAGCATTTTGCATACTCTAATCTAAAATAACAATAACCATAACAATAACGTGCTATCTATTTAATTTTCAACTTTACCCTCTTTAAATATATTATGCATATATTGATAACAGTGCTATTTCTGGTACATTTCAAACTCTATTTTTATTACTGCCCTTATTTCTTTAAATATTGTTTCCCAGAATTTTTAAAATAAATTTGCAGGACCACCACATATGAATATATGAACCTACTTCCTGGCACTCTCGCCAGCATTGGTTAGAGTATTTCTTGTCTGACTGATTTAGTCTAACTGGGGTTAAATACCACCCCCAAATTATTTTATAATAATTTTCCTTAATTCTTATAGATATATTTTTAAAGGTACACATATTCTATATTCTTTTGTATTACTGAATATTTATAGTTTTTTCTAAATCTTGTTCCCATAATTCTCTAGAATAATCTCATTTCTGTTCTTCTAGTAAGAATTGATAAATATCACTTTTGAACCTTCTATTATTTAATTTCTTTATTCTCTCTTTGGATTATCATTCCCTCAAATTGTCCTATTTGTATTATTTTGCCAACATTTGTATGTTTATACACATCTGTAATGCATTATTATTATTATTATTATTATTATTATTATTATTATTATTATTATGCAGGTGAAAGAGGCTGCATATTTCTATAAGAGAGCTCAGTGCTACAAGGATGCATACAGGTGTTTTGAACAGATTCAAGAGTTTGATCTAGCAATTAAAATGTGTTGCCAAGAGGAACTGTATGAAGAAGCAGCAAAGACTGTGGAAAGGTCTGTATTTTTTGAAGAGCTTGTCATTCATAATATTCATTCCCTCTCCTTTTTCTATGTCCACTTTTTATTTCCAAATCTTTGGCAGACTCGAAGCCCTGGTTTTTAAATCCATTAACATACTATTTCAATATAATTGCAGTTAGGCAGTGAGTATAAGGCTGTATTTCAGAAAACATTTTTAAACAGTTTCAGCACTGCATAAATGTAGGCTTAGCAAGAATGTTTTTACATTGGGATTGCAAGATCAGGAATGCACAAAAGGTTATCTCCCACAGGTGCACTGCCACTGTACTGTCTTTATCTGCTTATACTTGCCTAGGAGATCTGATTACTCTTTAATGTACTTATGATATCTGACTGTATAACACACAATCTATAATCATGGAAAGGATTGGGTTGGAGTGGGATGACGCAAACACCGAAAAGAAGAGGTACTGGGATGCTTCTCTAGGATTCTATTGATGCAGTACACTAATTCTTTTGGAGTCAGGATTCCCCAACGTTTTTGAAAATTAGTATCTCTGTAGAGTCTAGAACAGTGGTTCTCAACCTGCGGGTCCCTAGGTGTTTTGGCCTACAATTCCCAGAAATCCCAGCCAGTTTAGGATGTCTGGGAGGTGAAGGCCAAAACATCTGGTGACCCACAGCAGGGGTCCTCAAACTAAGGCCCGAGGGCCGGATACAGCCCTCCAAGGTCATTTGCCCGGCCCTTGCTCAGGGTCAACCTAAGTCTGAAACGAAGTCCAAAGAAGGAGCCTCCACCACCCTCCTCTCTGCCCCAGAATGTGGTGGAGGTTCCTTCTTTGGAGGCTTTTAAACAGAGTCTGGATGGCCATCTGTCGGGGGGGCTTTGAATGAGACTTACCTGCTTCTTGGCAAAAAGGGGTTGGACTGGATGGCCCGTAAGGTCTCTTCCAACTCTAGGATTCTAGGATTTTATTTATTTATTTATTTAAAGCATTTATATTCTGCCCTTTTCACCCTGAAGGGCGTGAAAAGGGCGGAGCACAACATATAAACGACAAACATTCAATACCGAAACATACCATACACATACAAAAGCATTAAAATCACATATCTTGACGTTAAAATCCATTAGTTAAAACTGTCTCAACAACCATATAGAATTTGGTTGGCATACTAAGGGTTCCTATTGCTGCCTCATTCTATGACTTGAAAGCACACAACAACAACAACAATCCCATCTCATCAGCCCATCAGCTCACACTTCCCATTGAAATACTAATAAGTTTATATCTGTTAAGATTGTTCTTCATTTTAATGATTGTATTGGTTTTTTAGCGTTGCTTGCAGTACAAATGAGATAATGTGCAGTGTGCATAGGAATTCACTCATGCTTTTTTCAAATAATAATCCAGCCCTCCAACAGTTTGAGGGACTGTGACTTGGCCCTCTGTTTAAACAGTTTGAGGACCCCTGACCCACAGGTTGAGAACCACTGGTCTAGAAAGTAACTTTTAAAAGGAATACATTTAACCACATGCTGCCATGAGTATGTGTATCTTCCATAGTCAATGTGAACTTCTGCCTTACTTACTAAAATTACTCTCACAGGGAAAAAATATCTCAAGGCTTCCTGAGAATACTTGAGGCAAAGTTATGTTAGGTTATGACCATTGTTTAGTGTGTGAGTATGTGTACATTTAGATCCCCCTGAAATAAAAATTTGTTCACTTCCAGTTTGCAAAAAGAAAAACCTCAACAACATTTCAGTGTATTTTCAACAGGAATTGGGGTGTTGGCAGTTGCAGTGGTGTCCTGCAAGGATCTACTGATGCTACCCATCCTTGTTTTGACATCGTACTAATGAATGCAGCCTCCTTCTAAGGCTCAGATGCTATCCCCTTCCTTGTCTGATGCCACATAGCCAAAAAGAGGAATCTGATATATCTATCATAATGGCATATAAGTGCTGTTGACATTAACTGTGTAAAATATCAATATGCCAAATTCATAATTCACAGTTTAAGTTGGCATGGTTGAAACAAACTCTGAACAGAATTTGTCAAATGACTAGGAAAGAAAAGGCTTCTGGATTCATCTTTTTTTTTTCCAGGAGAAAGTAATGAATCACACAATCCTAAACTGCAGGTTGTCCCCCCCCCCCCCCCCCCCCCCCCCCCCCCCGGGTGCATGTCATAGTAAATCAGGGTTTAGCAGGACTTTCATATACAGCCATTATGTACAGGCAGTCTCCGAGTTATAAACATCCAACTTACATTCGCCTGTGAGGGGAAATCTACCCCTTGGAAGGGAAATTCAGTCCTGGAAAAGTTATCATGGGGGAAAGGTGTCTCCACTGAAGCTTTCTCACCAATCCTTGTTATTCTTACATACAAATTCAATTTAAGAACAAACCTGCAGAACTGATCTTGTTTGTAACTTGGAGATTCTTTCTATATTCTAAAAACTTCTAAAAATACGGTTGTGTGTTATCCACACATTACCTGAATCCAAATTCCTATATTTGATTGTTGCATTTTTAAGCTAAGCTGAATGGATCCTGTTTAATTGCTCTATTTCTATGCTACTATTCGTTCTATTCACCTTATTGACCAGCCTATCCTTTAACTAGTTTTGCATATTGCCCCCCCCCCCAAATATGAGTCTGTTGTTGCTTATAATGTTTGTTTTATTGTTTATGCTGTTTTTATGCTATTTTAATATGTTATTGTTCAGTTTTTAATTGTATGTTGCCTTGGGCTTGGCCCCATGTAAGCCACCCCGAGTTCCCTTGGGAAGATGGAGGCGGGGTAGAAAAATAAAGTTCTTCTTCTTTATTTACATAATTTACTTAGCCATATGACACAGACCTTCTGATATACTGAGCCAGGGATCTCTTTTTTGCTTAAGTTGTTAAAATCATATTTGTTGACATAATTTTTCGTTTTCCCAAGGCTTATTTTCTTTAGTAGTTTTTTTAGTGTTTGTTATGTCTAAACAGATGCTCAATAACACATTTATTTCCATTTCACAATTAACATTTATGGATATGTATTGGTTTCAGGTATGAGAAAATGCTGCAACATGAAAAACTGCCAGGTTCCAAACTTCCATATTCAGCCAACCAATTTTATTTGGAAGCAGCTGCAAAATATTTGCATGCAAACAAAAGCAGTGCCATGATGGAGATGCTTTCCCACCTTGACACTGAAGACCAGCTTGTTTTCTTGAAAGAACATAAATGCTTTTCTGAAGTAGCTGGGCTTTTGAAAAAGGAAGGCAGAGATGAAGAAGCTGCAAAGTTGATGAAACAGCATGGATTTTTATTGCAGGCAGCCAAACTCACTAAACAAATGGACTTTCGAGCATCATGCTTACTTGCTGCGGCCCGCCGTGGTGTGGCAGGCTGCTATGCTCTGGAGAATTTGCCAGCCGTCTTGGAAGAAGCCTTAAATCTCTGTGAAGAAACAAACCAAAAGTCCGGCAGAGCAGAGGCAACTTATTTGAAGGGTGTTCTAAGCAAAGACTTCTCTATATTGAGGGAGGCTTTCCGCATGTTCTTGCATGTGAATCACACTGCAGGTGCTGTGGAAGCATTGTTTAAAGCCTCACATTGTGAAGGAGGAAATGAAGCCTTCCTGCGATTAACATCACAAGGAATTGGGGCACTTTTGAAACTAGTCACGGCTTTCGAAAAAGCAGACACTAATGCTGAGAGAGGCATGGTGAAGTCCTGCTTTGAATACTTCGGGATTATGTCAATAGACAACAAGACCTGCCAGATCTCTCAGAATGAAGCAGGATGTTTACTGGAATATTTTCCTGAAAGCTTAAACCTGAGAGGGAAGAAAAGTGACCACTTCACTGCCAGCCTGGAAGAGGTGAAAACTGTGCTGAGGAAGCATTTGTTGAATAGGCTGACTACCATTGTTCGCCACCTATTTGAAAGGAACTTCCCCAATATTTGTGCCAAGTTCATTGCAGGCTTGAAGTGTGAGGACAAAGCCTGTGAGGACTTCCATAGAGTTTTGTCATATGGAGAGATAAAATCTGTCTTTCAGTGTAAAGTGCATCTGGCTGCAATAAATGGGTTCCTGTTAGAAGCCAAGCAAGTGTTCCCAAAAGATTTGCTTCATGGGCTTAATGCTATTGATGAATTGTTGACAGCCGATAAATATGCTTTGTGCAGATCCCTTATAAATGCCATCTTTCCTAAACATTTCCATCTGAGAACAATCTCCAAAGACCCGCTGGCATGCAAAAACATCCTAAGTCTTCAAGGCGGTGGCTTTGTAACTTTTAATCCTTGCAGAATGGTGTTGAGGGAATATGTCATATCTGAGTTCAAAAACCAGACTCCTCAAAACAGGAGAGAATCTACTGATTTATTGCTGAGAACAATGCAAGTCCTTGCCTTGACTGGTCATTATCCTAAAGAGTTTGAGAGGCTTCTTGAAAGAGAAGAAGACGACTTTAAGACACAAAATAAGCAGAGAGGAAGTATCAGAGACACTGAAGGAAGGCATGGTATGTTGTTGCCTGACAAAAATTCCAGAAATGCTGACAGCATCCACTTGTGTTTCATTCGACTTTTGCAGGAGTGCATAGACAAGCTCTACATTTACAGAAATCCAGAGGAGTGTAGATGGCTGTTCTACCGTTTCATGAATGTCTTGGTAAGGAAGTGCACTTATCCCTTGATTCCAAGCATAGGAAACACAGTGACTTTGCTAGAGTTTCAATTTATTTTTTGTTGTGCTATCCTTATGCGCCTCTGCAAAAGCATGACCCTTTGCCTTCCTAAGAGTTACATCGCTTTCTACCACTACTGGGATTTTTTCTTCGCCAAGGGAGACCGACAAAAATGCATGTTTTCTATTATACAGGATTATAAACCAGTAGACACAAAGCAAGCTATACTGCTATTCCAACTTCATCTGAAATATTTAGCAGATGTTCTGTGCAAATTCGAAAACTTCAGTGTACTCCTGGATGCTTTTAATGACCCTGATTCTATTGTATCAGGAGAGGCTGAACGTACTGTTGTGCTTTGCTTAGTGATGTTAGTGAATGCAGATCAAGTGGGATGTGGCTGGAAGTATAAAAGTATTTTATCAGAACATTTCCCTGCTCTCAGGGAAAGCCTTATAGGAATGAAGAAAAAGTGTCCTTCCAAAGTACCCGAAAGGTTGTTTAAAGCTGTGGACATGATGTGCAGACTAAGAGCCACTGATGTTAAAGAAATCATTGAAGGCCTCAAAGAATTGCTGTTTTGCCGAGATGAAGAGTTTTTGGCTGATTGTTGCTGGAGATGGGATCCCAAAGGAACTCGAGGTTCCAGGCATGAAGATAATAAAGGGATCAGAGGTATCCATTACAGAGTTGCAGACATAGACAGATTTTCATATGTCAGTCAGGCACCGTATTTGGAAGAGCCAGAACCAGATCTTGAAGAAAACATATACGTTGAGGAAAGAGAGGATCCACTAGCCGGTTTAGCATCAGCAAGGCAGCAAAAGCAACAACAAAAAGCTCTTGTCAAGCAGAAGTTACGGTGCCTTTTCCTGTTTGTTCGTTGTTGTGTTAGATGGCGGCAGCTGTCTTCTTCAAAACCAGAGTCCTTGGAAATGACATTGGGGATCTTCAAAAAAGCAGATATTGATAAAACACAGTGTGATCTCTGTGGTGTCAAATTTGCCCAAAGCCCCGTGAACTTTACTCCTACAATTGAGCACTCAGAAAAAGAACCTACAGAAGAGACTTCAACTGAGATGGAGTGGGAAGAAAGTGTGGAAAGGCAGGAAAGTTTTGTGGACAGTGAAACATTTGAACATCATATTACCCAGCTTGAACATGGAAACAAAAGCATTTCTTACCAGAAATACTTTGAGTTTTTCAGAAGCGAGATAGAACCATTAGTCCATAGTGGGAATAAAGTGGTGGAAAAGATTGTGGAGAATGCCTGCATCAAGAGTCACAGCGAGGAGTCGAAGCTAATGCAGAGAAAAATTGAAGAGAGCATTAAGAGTATTTGTGATTCAGTAGAAGATATCTACAAGACAAAAGCATGGAGTGATGGTAAGACATTTTGGCTATGTCTCAGCAGTCAGGGAAGTTCTTTCTTTACTGCCAGAGATTCAAGGATGAAATCTTCAATTCATTAGAATTAAATGTTTGCTAGGCACATGCAATTTTCAGTATAAGTTCATTCTAATAAATACGTTTCAATTAGTTTTAGATGATGAGTGGATAACTGTTAGGGAAAACTACACTAAAATAATAAAGCAGAGCATCCAAAAACAAACAGGATAAAAATTGAGTTTCAGCTCATTAACTAGCAAAGCGTGAAGTGGCTAAAGAATTCAAAGCTCAGGAGGCAAAGATTGCAGAATCCAATCTTTAAAAATATCACAAAAAGGTTTGTTTACAATGGTAAAGAAATAACTGCATTTCTTAATAATCAAGAATTGGATCCCAGGTACTCTAACACCCATCTCTTCTAAGGTTTCAAAGAGAGGGAAAATACACATCCAAGTACTACATCTCTCCTGACGCAAACAGAGAGAGATCTCAAAGCACACAGCACATACTCTCCATACTAAAGTTTAAGAAGGCAGAAGCCAAATTGCAGTAGAAAAGTATACATTCTACACAACCAATCAGAATGAGATCAGAAACAAAGAGGAGAGAAGAAATAGATACATTCCCAACTGTCAAATCAGGAGATGGGGGAAAGGAATTCTTTTAACCTATACTAAACTAACTGCTCTTCGTTGAGGATGTGACACTTGGGCAGTGTGAGGTTGAATCCCAACAATAACTACCAGGTTAGTGCAATGGTAGGTTAGTGCAATGATAAACCCATACTGCCCATACTGGGGTGCAGATTTGTTACGTTTTTGGACTTTTTTGGCCATTAAGCTTAGAAGACAACTTGTTTGCAGCAGGAATCTATTGTGAGGCATCATTTGCAAAAAAAAAAAATAGTGTAGCTCTGGGTGTCTCAAAATGGCTTTTGGGCCATTTGTGCAACCTGCAAGCCACATTTTCTCTGTTTTGGATCCATAGGAACATATGAATAACAGGACTAGATAATATTAAAAGCTTGTTTGGGCCAGCATTCTGTATGTGGTATCCCTTTGTCCCCAACATGTGTTTCAGACTATTTTTCATTGTAGATGTTCAATGGCCATCCTCTTTTTTTCTCACATGGTATTTTCTTTGGAAATTTTATGCTTTTATTTTAAACTCTCTGCTTTTTGGAACTGAGTTCTAGGTAGGCCTGAAAAGAATTACTCTCTAGACCAGGGGTCCTCAAACTTAAGGCCCAAGGGCCGGATACGGCCCTCGGTCATTTACCTGGCCCTCGCTCATGGTCAACCTAAGTCTGAAATGATTTGAAAGCACACAACAACAACAACAATCCTATTTCATCAGCCAAAAGCAGGCCCACACTTCCCACTGAAATACTAATTTATTTATTTATTTACAGTATTTGTATACCGTTTTCTCACCCCGAAGGGGACTCAAAGCGGTTTCCACATAGGTAATGGCAAAATTCAATGCCAGTATAAACAATTACAATTATACCATTACAGTTAGAAATAAATTAATACATCCATAAACAATAGAACAATCATTAAAACAATAAAACAGTCTCATCCGTCGAATCGTCGTTCCATTCATTGCCTTTCCGAAATGCTGCATAAATTTTTTTCTACTGCACAACAATGTGCCTGGTCCCAAAACCATGTTTTTATTTTTTTTCCTAAAAGTCAGAAGGGAGGAAGCGGATCTTACCTCATTTGGGAGAGTGTTCCATAGGCGGGAGGCCACAGCCGAGAAGGCCCTGTCTCTCATCCCCGCCAGGCGCATTTACGCTGTTGACGGGAGCGAGAGCAGGGCCTCCCTGGATAATCTTAGATTACGAGGTGGGACATAGGGGCAGATGCGTTTATCTTTTTTGAAATTGTTATTCATTGAAATTATTGTATTGTTTTGAAGTGTTTTTTGCACTACAAATAAGATATGTACAGTGTGCATAGGAATTCATTCATGTTTTTTTTTTTCAAATTATAATCCGGCCCTCCAACAGTTTGAAGGGACTATGACCTGGCCCTCTGTTTAAAAAGTTTGAGGACCCCTGCTCTAGACAACTGCTTCAGGGAGATACAACTTGCTTCCTTTCTCATTTTCTCCCAATAAAATCTTCATGTTTGATAGAGTTAATTTTTATGTGAATCATATGATTTTTTCACCTGAATTGTTCCTTGAAATGCAGTCTTGAATATGCTTTCTTGTGAATGTAACACTGAATTCAGCGGGATTTCAGAGTAAGCATACGTAGGATCAATTTGACTTCCTTACGGAAAGGAAAGCAGTATGCACTCAGTGGCTGAGATAACTTGAGTTGCTTAATTTACTTCTTTATCTCCCAACATTTTGTGACTGAAACAACACCATTTTGTGCCAGACAATATGCCCTTCTTAGCTGTTGATTTATAGAGCCCCAACAATCCTTTTTTAAAATGTCTACTGTACACATGAACCCCAAGGGACTGAGAGCCACAGTTAACTTACTGCATCAATAAATATTCTATTTTAGCTGAAGAAATTATGTCCAAGTTGGCTTGTGGATTGGAATCAAATGTAGACAATGCTGTGAAATGGCTGGAGAAGATGGAATCCTCCCTGCTAAAGGAGGAAGGTATGTTTCCAGTTTTACATGAATCTGTGGTTTGCAAGAACTGTGATTGTGCTTGATCTGTTGTGCTATCAGTGCATTAGTTAATCATAATTTAAGTCATGAATCATTTTGTCAAAAATGTTTTGATACTAAGTCAATGTATAATACTTCTGCCACCTAACTTTGAATTAAAACACTGATTGTATATTTGCATTTTACCTTTTAGATACTAATGGTTAAACTAGGTATAACAGCTTGGAAGAGGATCAGTCAAAATAATTAAATTAAAATTAAATTAAAGAAACATTAGTGTTCATTATGGAGCTTACAATTTTATCATTGTTGTGCAAGAATGCACAAAATACATGGGCATGATTTTAAGTTGCCTGCCATCTTATGCATGTGGACTTGGGGGGTGCAAAATTTTAAAATGTTTTGAAGCGTGGGACCTTATCTTCAAAATATTTGCAATCAGGATACTTTCCCATGCAGAATCATGTAAGTGTTGTATTATCTATAAATGTTTCTTAATAGCCCATCTGAAACCAGTACAGTCAACATTCACGGGTTAAACCTTAGCAGATTATAATAAAAATAATACAACTTTATTTGTATTCCGCCCAATCTCCCTGAAGGGACTCAGGACGGATTCCAACCACAAAAAGGCATTCAATGCCTGAATACAACTACCAATACAAACATAATAGCAAAAATAACCCAACATATGAGAACGAATTATAACTTAACATCTAAATTTAAATGAAACATAACCTATCAAATAAATTATATCTAACATAAAACAAAATATCAAACAGAAACAACAATTTACCGGAGCCGACACAGTTCATTAGGGCATGTAAGTTAATTATTGCCAAAGATGTTAACTGGGCTAGCAGGGTATCGTAATCTAATCCTTCTCCTCCTCATATGCTAATGATCAGAAGTAAGTTTCAGTTGTTCTTTGAAGGTGAGAAGGGAGGGGGCCATCTTTATTTCTTTAGGGAGGGAGTTCCAGAGGTGGGGGGCGATCACAGAGAAGGTCCTCTCTCTCTCATTCCCACCAGCCGTGCTTGGATTGTGGGTGGGACCAAAAGCAGGGCCTCCTCCACTGACCACAGTGTCCAAGTCTATTTATAAGAGGAGATGCAATTGGTCAAATAGTCTGGACCCAAACCATTTAGGGCTGTAAAGGTAATCACTAGCACTTTGTATTTAGTCCAGATGCAGGCGGCAGCCAGTGGAGCTACCCCAACATGGGAATGGTTCTCTCTCTGTACAGCACTCTAGTTAGTAACCTGGCTGCCAATCTCTGAACCAGTTGAAGCTTCTGAACTATCTGGCCAAGGTCTTTAGGCACTGTACCCACTGTACCCAGTGTGTTGATCACTACTGGGAATTATTATTATTATTATTTGAAACACAACAAGATGAGTCCACAGCAGACACTCTGCTGGCTGTTGTATTGGATCACATGTCAGATGCTTCCCAAGTGTCTAGGACTGTGTGATGTATCGGTGAATTACTACTACTACTACTACTACTACTACTACTACTACTACCCTGTTTTATCTCTCCCTCAGGAGACGCAAAGTGACTTAACATAAAAGTATCAGCATAAATTCAATGAAACAGCATTGCATATAAACAGTATACCCAGTTAAAAACTACTGATCACAGTAGTTGTAATAGCCCCGATCCAGATGTGAATTAACCATTTGTGTGAGTTTAAGATTGCCACGGTTACAGACAACCCCCCCCCCTTTTTTTTGTACAGTTTTCTGTTTAACATATCTTGAAAAAAGGAGGGTGGCAGAATAGAAATATGGCCTAACTAATTTTTTTATAGTTTAAAACAATGTGAAAAATGACTGCATGGGTCCAAATTACTATTTTCCCAGAAAGTGGACTTGATACATACTTCATGCTTATTGCTTGGATGCTTTTTTGACTAGTTTGTTCTCCTTTCATTTTAAACTAGAGTTTGACAGTGACAAAGACTTGAACAGTAAAGAAAATGACGAAGATCTAACATTTCAAGAACTGTGTGAAAAAAAGCCCAGAAGAAAGAGGGGGCGCCAAAGACGCAAATAGTTTGTTTACAAAAACGGCTGAGGTTTACTTTTCTGTTAAATTCCCATTAAATTCTTTTTTAAAAAAAAAATCAGGGAAATGTTATATTGCCAGACAATCAACATGAATGTAACTCAGAAGCAGCTCTTAGTTCTTAAGACTCAATGCCTATTTTTACTGGGTCTCTCAAAAAGATTGATTGTATTTTGTAACGTGTTTTGATATCAGCTGTTCTTTAAGTGTGCTTTAAAACATTCCTTCAGAGTGCCATTGTTTATATAAAATGTGAATATACATTTATATGTTTCTTCAGAGTCCCACTGGTTATATACAGTGTTCACCTACATTTTTAATGGAGAGTGGTTTTATATATTTGAAATTCTGAAAAGAAATGTATGGAAGATTTAAACAGAAAATAAAACAAGTATTGATTCTATGACATGTTTTGTGTTTTCGATGCCAGTCATTTATTTATTCTACAACACATATGGGTAAATAGAAGTCATAAGGCTCCCTGTGGACCTTTACTGTTCTCTGTGCTCAGACATAGCAGAATGCTTTGACCCACTTCCTTCTTCTGCCCAGCTTCTCAAACACGGGGACATGGAGGAACAGAGTTGCTATTTTCCTACTATTATTAACAGTAAGAAGGGAGCAAACAAGATCACCATTGTAGAGGGAAAGGCATGAAAAGATATTATCTCCTTCCTCTCCAGCAACATTCAGTGATTCCATGGCTAATTCAGTGATTCCATGGGCTTCATGAATCAGGAGTACAGTTTTTGGGGGGAGGAACAAGCATTTTGAGTCCCACAACATAACAGACCAGAGATTAAACAGACTGGAGACCCTATGTTCATTACCTGTATAATCTAATACACAATTTACATTGTGTATATATCATGGTAATTTTCCACACAACTGCTTTTCCAAACCAGATGTTTCCATTATCTTCCAGGCTAGGTATAGAAACTGACCTTACAGAGATTTCTTCCAGATTTCCAGCTACCAAAGACCTTAACATGTACATGCCAGGAGGATAGAATCATAGAGTTGGAAGAGACCTCGTTGGCCATCCAGTCCAACCCCTGCCAAGAAGCAGGAAAATCGCATTCAAAGCACTCCCAACAGATGGCCATCCGACCTCTAAAAGCCTCCAAAGAAGGAGCCTCTAACACACTCCGGGGCAGAGAGTTCCACTGCTGAACAGCTCTAACAGACAGGAAGTTCTTCCTAATGTTCAGGTGGAATCTCCTTTCCTGTAGTCTGAAGCCTTTGTTCCGCGTCCTAGTCTCCAGGACAGCAGAAAACAAGCCTGCTCCCTCCTCCCTATGACTTCCCCTCACATATCTATACATGTCTTCTCAGCCTTTTCTTCTGCAAGCAAAATATGCCCAGCTCTTTAAGTCACTCCTCGTAGAACTTGTTCTCTAGATCCTTGATCATTTGCGTCACCCTTCTTTGGACACATTCCAACTTGTCAACATCTCCTTTAAATTGTGATGCCCAAAATTTGACACTGTGATTCCAGGTGTGAGCTGATCAAGACAGAATAGAGGGGGTAGCATGACTTCCCTGGATCTAGACACGGTATTCCTATTGATGCAGGCCAAAATCCCATTGGCTTTTAAAACTTCTGCATCACATTGTTGGCTCATGTTTAACTTGTTGTCCACAAGGACTCCAAGATCTTTTTCACATGTTCTGCTATCGAGCCGGGCAGGAAGAAACATGTAAATGTTAAGGCCTTCCATCTCCATGTCAGGTTACTTCTCTGGAAAAAAAAGTCCCAAAATCACACAATGTTCAAAATGTATATGTATATATATAGAGGGAGAGTTTGTTGTACAGGGTGAGGCAGCATAACTTCCTGCCATTCAGTCAGTTGAAGATGTAGCGGAGCATTAGTGGTCTCGTTCGAGAGGCAGGAGTATAAAGTTTTGTCCTGACACAGTTCAGTCGCCATCATGCATTGGAACAGTGAGGAGCGTGCTTTTGCCGTTGAGGCCTACTTTTCGAGTGGATTTGGAGTGGTCAGACCGCTCTCCAAATTTGGCCCCTTGTGATTTTTTTCTATGGGGTTTTTTGAAATCCCATGTTTATGTGAACTGTCCAAGGACCCTACAAGATTTGAAGACCAACATCCAGGAAGAAATTGCCAACATAACGCCTGCTATGTTGGCAAGAGTCATGACAAACACCAGAAATTGGTTTACTCAGTGTAAGGAGAATGGGGGACGTCACCTACCTAATTTGAACTTCAAAACTACGTAAAACTAAACTTTAGGTATGCGCCTACATTATAAAAAAAATAAAAATTTCTGATTCATACAATGGGTTTTATTAAGTTTTGAAAAAAAGGAAGTTATGCTGCCTCACCCTGTACAAATGAGTAAATGTTGAAAGAGCAGAATTTAAAGGTCAGGAATCAGGGTGGATCATGACTTCCATGTCAGTGACATAGTGAATGTGTTTGAGGTTATTTGGGGAATAGGATTCAGCTCCTTGGATAATTCCTTTAAAGTGTGATTTAAAATCCAAAGTGGATTTCATTACAAGGGCTTGTTCAAAAATACTGGAGCAAGACATGAAGTGGTGACATTTCTGCAAAATGACTTACAGGGGTGGCAACATGTATAGTGAAAGCTCCGAATGATCTCTTCCGTGTGAAGAGAATACATGTTCAAACCTATTCACAAAGATTATAATATTTATAGTTCTCATAATATGCCTAATAGATGTGAGTGCCTGCTCACTCCTCCATCAGTAAGAACATGGATAGGAAACATGCAAACCCCTAGCTGTTGGCCTACTAACTTGCAGGTGCCCTGGCAATATAATCCATGGTGATTAATATAAGCAAACCACTGGACGAATTTGCTGCCAAATTTGGCCTCAAGACACCTACTAACCCAAGGAGTGACTATCACTCAAAAAATTTGAATTTGTCATTTGGGAGTTGTAGTTGCTGGGACTTATAGTTTACTTACAATCAAAGAGCAATCTGAACTCCACCAATGATGGAATTCAAACCAAACTTGGCACACAGTACTTCCATGACCAACAGAAAACACTAGAAGGGTTTGGTGGGCATTGGCCTTGAGTTTGGGAGTTGTAGTTCACCTACATCCAGAGAGCACCGTGGACTCAAACAATGATGGATCTGCACCAAACTTGGCATGAATATTCCATATGCCCAAATATGGAGTTTGGGGGAAATAGACCTTGACATTTGGGAGTTGTAGTTACTGGGATTTATAGTTCACCTACAATCAAAGAGCATGCTGAACCCACCAACGACAGAACTGGGGCAAACTTCCCACACAGAACCCCCATACTTAAGGTCATCCAGGCCAAGTCCCTTCATCAGGGCAAGAAAACGTAATCAAAGCCCTCCTGACAAAGAGCCATCCAGATATAGATATAGATGATTCATACACACACAGATACAGTATCATAGATAGAAAGGGACCCCTAAAGAAGGACAATTATATTTTACATGTTCCAGAGTTGGCAAACCAGACAATCTCCACATCAACACTGACAAAGAAACAGCAAGAGATACTGTTTACCCACAAGCATAAAGTAATTACATATATTAGAAATGAATACTTTTTCCAGATCATCAGACTGGGCCACAGCAACAAGTGGCAGGCGACGGCTATATATATATATATCCATCGCCTGCCACTTGTTGCTGTGGCCCAGTCTGATGATCTGGAAAAAGTATTCATTTCTAATATATGTAATTACTTTATGCTTGTGGGTATAGTATATAGATTAGGCATGGGCTGGGCCAGTAGCAGATGGATTAAGAGATGATAATTGAGAGTCAAAAGCTTCAACTCTGGAATATAGATGGGAAATGAGATATAGACTGATATTTATAGTGTTGGACAATATTTATAGTGGGTATTTATCGTGTTGGGTTTTAATAACTACTTGTATGTGGTTTTTAGCCTCGATTTTAACATTTGTTGAAGTTTTAATTATATAACCCCTTGGGTTTCATGTGGATGTGCGGGACTGGGTCCCCTGTCATCAATTGTAATAAAGTTTACTACTAGACAGGATTAAGAGAGTTTGTGTGGACTAATTCAAACAGTACCAAAAAAAAGGAAAAAAGAAAGAACATTATAATATTAAAAATGAAAAACAATTTTAACCAACATAAATTTAAAGGGTCTGGTGGCAAAAAAAAGAGTCTGGGCAGTGAGGGAAGAAAGGGTCTGTGCCTTGGGAGGATGCTGGTGTTGTTGTTTCTGGCAGCTCAAAATTGCAATTTTCTTGCCTTTCTCAGGAGGTGGAAAGAGAAGGAGGTGAAAGGCAGCATGGCACTGTGGAGCCCGTCACTATCATTAGCGGAGTCCCAAGGGTTCCACAGAGCACAGTTTGAGAACCCCTGCACTAGGACATAACCTCCATGCTCCCTTTTCTCGCTTACATATACAGATTGATCAGCAGAGGTCAGTGCAAGGCAAGCAGCTTCTCCGAGAAGCTTGTTTGTTGTTTGACCTGGGATACTGCATGAGAAAATGACTTAACATTCCTCCAAGGAACCCTAGGCTTCCCCAAAACACCGCTTGGAAATTACTGAGGTAGAAGGCACGCATGTGGCAAGCATATTTTGAATGCCAGCTGAGGCTTCAATTATATTTTTAACCAGCACTCTTTAAAGCGAACTATCCAGACGCTGTTGATTTCTGCCCACATATATACAGCACTGCTGCAAATATTCCCTTGTGATTAAAAGCAGGCGATTTGGAAGTGGGAGTGCATGTGGAGGAGGGTAGAAGATCATCTCCGTCTCTCCTGTTTATCCAGCCCAGGAAGGAGACAAATCCCTCTTGCTAGCAGATGGCAGGGGGAGTGTGCGCAGAATCTATTATATCATGTTTGGGCATCTTTTGTTGCTCCCCTGCAAGGATGTGTGTGTATGTGTGTTTATAGCATATTATGGGAACAAAAGGATGAATATTTTTACAAAATGAGAGAGAGAGAGAGAGAGATTGGGAAGGAGTCCTATTTTAATCTTATTGGACAGCATTCCTTCAGGAGCTTAAAACATATTTTCAGAAACAATGATCATGGGACAATGCAGCCTGATTCAGTGCATACTTGCTCAGAAGGAAATTGGGGTTTTGCTGTTGTGTAGGTTTCACAGGCATGACTGCAGAATGAATAATCTATTTATTTATTCGATTTATGTCTTACCATTCTGAATGGGACTCAAAGCAGGAGTTATCTTGATTCAGTTTTGTAATTCTTGCAGGACTCCTGCAAGCTCTTTATGGAGGCTGCATGCATTACAAAGGGAAATATTCTACAGAATATATGCTTATAGGATGTTGCTTATAGGATGCAGGAGTTCAAATACTTGCAATTTTGAAGCATTCTCCCTTTGGCCGTTCAAAGAGATGTAATGAGTGCATTGAA